TATTGGTAAAAGGCATCGATCGTAGCGACACGCCGTGACAATAATTCGAATCAATCCTATCGGGTCAAATACGCCACGTTTCCATACGAAAACATGTGTTACAAGTTAATTTTGAAGCAATGTTTTTATCTTTGAGTGAAATTTTGGAGTTCTTGAACTCATCAATAAAAAGCCGTAATTTCGTTGAAGGAGAGAAAGTTGTGAATGCTGGTCATTTAATATATTGTGGCATATTAAATAATATAAATAATCGATATGAGTTACGCTGAGAGAGTTTATATCATTATTTTCTGCCATTGGAAGGTCAGAACTTGTTAAAATATTTTCTTCATCGTTTAGGTTACCACAATTTCCATTTTGTTGGTTTATATTAGCTTCAGTACGATTTTTTTCTCTATTTAATCTTAATCTTAATCATACTTCTACTAATTCGTTTCTGGTCATCTGAAGGCTCTTTTATATTACATGAAGGCAAATTACAGGAAGGTATGGCATCTTTCTTCAAGAATTTGAAACCTTTAAAAATAGAGTCAACATGTCTCATTGTCCACAAAATTCAAAATATTGATTAATGTAATTAATATTTGAATTAATTTTAAATAATTAGTTATAGCTTAAAGTAATTATGCAAAAAAATGAATATTTACCAGGTGGAACATAGTCACTTCTTTTAAAATGTAACTAACAAACTTGCATGTGCTGAATTACTGTTTCCCCAATTTTTAAAACTTCTTGCCATTTTTTATGGCAATCGACTTTACCGAATTACCGAAATAATTTTGTATTTTTACATAGTAACTATTTGGTTTTGGAAAATAGTGGAAACGAACGCCCGGATTGTTAAACGCTTTACTTTTGCAACCATAGACACAACAAAACATTTTACTCGTAGTTTTTTTGGAGAAAATCTTGCTCCATTTGTTTCAGATTGATTTTCCATACTTTAAAATAATTTTATTCATTTTCTTCTATTATAATAAAAATAAAAAGAATTACATATGTATCTGTTTCTACTCGCTGTGTAACAGCTAACCCGATAGGATTGGTTCGAATTATTGTCACTACGTGTCGCTACGATCGATGCCTTTTACCAATAGCCAGATATGATTTCTTGAGAATCAGTCATAATAAAAGATATATCATTTTAAACGGAGTCATTATATCCAAACTTTCCTATAGCGAATTAAATATGAAAACCAAACTTAACACTATAACTACTTCATATTAAGCGGTTGGTCAATATAGGCGGAGTCATAATAAACGAATTCCACTGTATTTCCAAACAAGCGAGTTAAGTAGATGGATCACAACTGCAATTGAACAGATTGCAGTAGTTTCCTTTTATTTTCAGACTTTTCTCGGAGGATGGAAACTTTAGTCCACCCGAAGCGAAACGTTACCTGAAAGCGCTAGCAGCTCTTGAGAAAGTTATGAAGAAAAAACACGTTCAGTTGGTTAAAGACTTGAATTTAAAACGGGCAAAAGCTATGGAAGTTGTCATGAAAACCGGAAATGATGCTGTAACTCCGTAAGAACAATATAGTACATTACGTATCGAGGTCTGAAAAGTAGATACTTCAGACTACGTGTTTGTAGTCTGAAATATCCACTTTTCAGACAGAGGTACGTATACTATTTTTTGTCATGTTTGTGCGAAAAGCTCGTCATTAAATTGATATTTGGCGAAATAAGAGTAAATGATTTAGAGGTTAGAAAGACATTGTCATTGAACAACTGATTTCTGCGCATGCTCATAAACTTGAGCGCATGCGCTCAAAAGACTAATTTAATTTCCTCCCAACTAAAACACGGCTGAAAAGAGGCCATTTCTTCCCTATTTCATAGCATGCAAAACGAGCTTTCCGCGCTAACATGACAAAAAATAAATTCCTTTTACAGACCGCAAGACAGATCTAAGAGTTTCTGCAGATGTGTGTTGATAAGATTGTTAACGATTATGAAGTTTGATTGACTGGGCTTTTACTCGGGGTTCGTCAATGCGGGGAGAGGGCACCTCCAAGCGGAAAATACCAGTTACTAACCTAATAGTCCAAGATCCCAGACATTACTTATTATCTGAGTAACAAAATGGGTGGAAATTTTATTCTTTTATTAACTTCCTGCTTTAATCTAAAAACGCCCAGTATTTTCAGCTCCCCTTGAGCCAGTTAATAATTTCATTTTGAAGATACTATTACAGTTAAAACGTTTATTTATTTTGTACAGTTTTTGCTCACTGGTGTAAATTTTAAGGAAAAAGTGCAATGTTGAAGTCAAAAAGAAGTTCCATTTAGGATTATTTTGTTGATATTCTAAAAAAAATTCTAACAAAATATTCCCGAAAAGGGCGCACGACCACTGCATTAAAGAGTCACTTAAATTCCGTTGCATCGCTACCCTATCCCACCCATTTTATTACTCAGAAAATAAGTAATGTCTGACGGCTCAGAGATCTTGCTCTATAATAATTATTGTTGAAATAGAACCGATAACAAGATTTCAGAGTACCTAAGCTTTCATTCGTTTCAATATCTAAATATAGTGTTCCATAAAATGTCTAGACCTTTCATAAAACTAGAAGACTGCAAAATGTTTAACTCATACAAATTACAATTTTTTTTACGTTGTAGATTTTTAAATGTACTTGAAGAATTCGTTTACGCTGACGCAATACAAAACTCTATCGAAAAGGTCAAAGACGAAATTAAAGATACGGCAGTGTCTTTGAAGTCCTTGGTAAAATTGAAGCAAGCTGAATTCTTTAATATCAAGGATACCGCGTTTGCCACATTGGAACTCGCTGGCGGTCATGAAATCCTAGCCGATAAACTCGAACAATTGTTAAACAATCTCCGCGATTTGTGCCAACTGCTTGAACATCCACAAGCAGTTACCAGTAAGTAGAGTATAGTTGGGACGTTTAAAATTGGCATAGTTTGCAATAAAAATGTCGCATTTACTTTCTACTTTCAACTTACTAACTTGCTGACAGAACGTCTACTTTTACTCTCGACAGATGTTACCTATAGGCAATATCGTAAACATAGAAAAGAGATGCCAGGTAGGAATTGCAGCGGACACTAATAGCGAAGGTAAAGCGGCCAATTTTATAATAAGTCAATGCGGGACAATAAGACTGAGGATTTTTTGGAATTGTTGGTGGTGTACTTAAATTAGAAACAAACAGCACTACTACTGAATTAATATTTCAAGTCATATTTTTCGCATGAGTGGCATTTTTTACTAGGTTTGGATTTTGGTTCAGAATGTCCAAAAAGTTTTCACAGATGCCCATATTAAATTTTACAATTAGCATTGCACGTAATGTTTCTATATTTAGTCACGACTTTTCGGATTTTCGGACGCCGCGGCGGGCTGTCGTTCGTATTTTGGAAACAAGGAATGCGGGACATACGGGACGCCTTAGACGATTTACGGGACTATTTTTCAACCGTCATTACGGGACGGTCCCGCAGAATGCGGGACGGTTGGCCGCCTTGAGCGAAGGTATAATAGAAAAAGATGCAAAAGCAAAATTTGAGCATGTTGCCAGTACCGGACTTTAAAGAAAGTTCAAGATTCTCAGGAATTTAGAAAAGCAAGAACGCTTGGATAAAGATATAATTCCAACCAGGCTGTTATAAAGCCGGCCCTGATTTTTGTCTTGCTGAAATACAATTTTTCTAAGATGAAAATTTAGACCTGAAAAGGTTTTTAAGGATTTTTCCAAAACTGTTGGACTTTCATTATTTATAATTATGGCAAATTATAAAACAGAATTTTATACTTAAATTAATTTAATTGTTTCAGATGATTATGGAAAGTACTTCAAAAACATTGAAACTCCCAAAAGTGCCACTTCAACAATTTCCTCTCGGTCCAGGTAATCAAAATCATTACGTGTTTATTATTGTATTATATGTCCTTGAATATGTTAATGATTTAATCAATTTTATCAACAGTTCATGTTTTGTATAATTGTTAGATCAAAATCATCGGAAAGTGCATTCCCAATGAGTAAAAAACTTATCGCCACAAGTCCAAAACCAAACGACAATTCCATTATGGGTCGATTCTGTGCTTTCATTACACAGACATTCCAGAAGATGGTCGAGAAATCACAGGTAAACTAATAACCCTTTTGTAAGACAAGTAGCTAAGGTAAAACATTTACCAAACACAGAAATTACACAATATTAATTTGAAATCATTTTTTCAATTTTTTATTTACCTCAAATTAATGAGGGAAAAATTGTTGCTGTCGTCACACCCCCGCCGGGAGTCGAACCCGGGACCTTTGGCTTTACGCACTAATATTCTGCCCACTAGACTACTCCCTCATTAATTTGAGGTAGTTTGTAGTGGGTAAAAAAAAAAATCGAAAAATTGATTTCAAATTAATATTGCATATTAATCCACTATTAAGTAACTAACAATGTCATAGGATATCATATACAGAAATTACACATTTCTTTGTTAGCATTTTTTTTTTCGGTAATTACGATTCGAGGTACGATTCAAAAATGAAACAAAAGATAGGGATTTCAATAAAACATCCTTTAAAAATACAAAACTACAAATAAAAATTGAATTAATTCAGCCTTTATCTTTGCCAGTAAATGATAACTTATTCATTAAATGAATATTTTTTATTTTATGAACATGTTAAACATGGTGATTCGTTTTTATACACTATGACAAAAAATAAATTCCTTTTACAGACCGCAAGACAGATCTAAGAGTTTCTGCAGATGTGTGTTGATAAGATTGTTAACGATTATGAAGTTTGATTGACTGGGCTTTTACTCGGGGTTCGTCAATGCGGGGAGAGGGCACCTCCAAGCGGAAAATACCAGTTACTAACCTAATAGTCCAAGANCTTATTCATTAAATGAATATTTTTTATTTTATGAACATGTTAAACATGGTGATTCGTTTTTATACACTACAAAATATTACTATAGACCATAGACATGGAAATATAGGAGCAGATCATTAACTAGCAATGTAAAGGTTTTTACAGGCACCCTTAAAATCTATTGACTGCTCGTACTGAGCATACGCACAAATAGGCAATAAAATTGAGGCACCACTGCGTGTATAGACCCCACCCCTCCTCCCATAACCTATAATTGTAGTTTATGCTCCTTCCCTATATTCCTGAATATTTCTATGTTAATTACAAATATTTTATGAAAACTACGCATTGAAATTAGAAGCCACACGTGGTTGGACTCAGTTTACTGGGTTCACGATACCAATCAGGATCTCTACCAACGTTGTTCTTCCTGTAGAACGATTCCTCTATTATACGACACCTTCCGTACCGTATCATCGGATTCTCTTTGCCATGATTCCACATTTTCCAGCCATACGTCCAATTAACACATTCTTGGAAGTAATATTTGTTTTCAGGAAGAATTTTCACCCTTTCGTGGAGATAATTCTTCCTTCCATTCTTTTCGGTTCCTATGCAATGAAACAAAATTGTGTCAATTAAAATACTTTCCATTTTCAACTAAATATGTTCATTTGTTTTTGTAAAACGTCATTACCGTCATTTTGAACTTCGTTTATCCAAAGTACTAAACCTAAACCTTCAGAAATCAAACATGAATGAAGAAAGCTGTGTGTTGTCATGGAACACCCAGTAGAAACGCAATTTCTTACACTTTTTACAAAAATTGTTCATTATAAATTTTGTTCAAGGTATTTCGTAAAGAAGAAACCTGACAGATATCTAACATACGCATTCCGTAAAAATTTTCGGGACAGTTTAATAAAATTCTACAAATTACACTACCAATATCCTCCCTATGCTCCAGATTTGCCACCATCGTACTTCTTCGTACAAAACATCTGAATCGCCACATTAACTTACATCATTAACTATATTCAAAGCGAAAATAAAAAACATACACAAGAAACAGAAATCATGTGTAAACTCATTGATCATTCAATAAAAAATTAACTAACCCATTACGTAATTAAAAATTTTTAAATTTTACGAAAAATAAATTGTATTTTGAGATTTTAACCCAAAGTCGTTATCACGTACCATTCTTTCTCACTGTACAGAATATACCTACATACGTATGCATAACTTCTGATGAAGTCACGGCGTGGCGAAACAATTGTCAAGTTGACAGTAACACTCATTTATCACTTTTTATTAGATCTATACTAATACTAATACTAATCTAAACACACCTGATGCATATGTTTGAAAGAGAACTTCTCGAATTCGAGGATCTAACAGTTCCATTTTTTTCTTTTAGATAACTTCAAAGTTCTGGTCGATATCATGTTTCGCTTAGCAATGTAATGATGCAAGTAATTTATATTTAGATTTTGGTTTACAACCCTGCGCTCTATTTACAATGGGTATTGTGTTCCAGTCACGTTTCTATCTCCTACATTATCTATTGATTGCTTCTATTTTCTCTTATAACCTCACGGCACAGTTTTACTCATAACTAAATGGATTACTGGCTTGTTCATTTAATACATTATTAAATAATAGGCTAGAAATTGAATCAATCAATCATTGGATATACTTATAGGGTGGATAAAAATATTCAAAGTTGGAAGCACCCAAATAAAAACAGAATTGTAGACAGTTTGAAAGCTAGATCATTATTTTTTTAGTTGTATCAAGCAAAGGTTCTTTGTGAATTTAAATTCTGTTTGAATTATATACAAGAATAATAGATGAAATTTTTAAAAATAACACGCTAGAAGGTTTTCTTGCTATTTTTCAGGATTTTCGATGAACAGAAAAACTGATAAAATTTAATTTTATCTTAACTAGTTCTTCCCCCCTATCAGTTCACCGTGAGTTCAAAGCTGTTAACACCATTGCTTCGAGTGGTCGAAATTCACTTCTGTGAACAGTACTATGACGTAGTGTCGGCCATCATTAATTTCTAATTGTTGCTGTTGTCGGCCATCATTCTTTTTCAATTGTTGTCGCATTGTCTCTGATGTCGGCCATTAAGGGTTTTTAGTAGATGTATAGTAATCAATGATTAAAATTTAAGGAATTGTTCGTAAATACGTATGCAACACATAATACACTTCAGCATAAAAAGTTGCTGATACTAACTACGTAATACTACTTTGCCCTATGCTGTATGTGCCGTATGTTCTTTCGTGTTTCAACTTGGGACTGTAGTCATTTCCTGAGTTTTGAATGCTCCCTAGTTAAGTTAGGAAATACTTCGTGAGCCGTACAGACAAAATGAAAAGAGATGATAGTAAGCGGTGGAGCGGTTAGAGGTTACTTAGATACGCAAAAGATCAGGGTTTATAACTTTCTGGTTGGAATTATATCTTTGAACAAACGTTTTTGCTTTCCTAAATTCCTGAGAATGTTGAGCTTTCTTTAAAGTCCGATGCTGGCAACATGCTCAAATTCTGCTTGTCTGCATCTCTTTCTATTACACCTTAATTGGTGTAATGTTATTCCCTTTTTTTATTAGTGTCCGCTGCAATTCCTCCCTGGCATCTCTTTTCTTTGTTTACGATATTCCCTACAACGTCTCTCATGGGTAAAAGTAGATGTTCTGTTAACAACCGTTCTAGTCTAATTAGTAAGTTGAAAGAAGAAAGAAAATGTGACAGTTTTATTGCGAACTACGCCAATTTTAAACGTCCCAACTATACGTACGCTGCCATGAGTTTAGTTCGACTCGATCACCTTAGATATTTAAAGAGAACCTTACTGAATCCTATATTAAAAGAATCAATGTAACAAGGATAAATCATGAATTTTTACGAAATTGCAGGTAATTCCCAAGGATTTTTACCTGCATAAAGCAAACTTTTCACTTCTGGATTGACTGGACGCATCACATTATAAACAGCATCAGGATCGATCAACGGTACTTCTCCTCCTTCAGAAAACCTGGGTCTCACTTTTCGTTCTACGTTCTGGTACCGTTCCTGACGATCGGAAATCATCTTTTCTTTCTCTTCTTCGGTTACTTTTTTAGGCAGCGCCTGCTCGGCGTATTCAACCAGCCTTTGCTCGTTCCTCTTAAACCATTTCATACGCAATCTATCTTCGGTTGCTATTGCGTCAGCATATACCTGCTGCTTTCTCGTTGTACTTAGATCTTTGTTCATTGTAAATTTATTTAACTAAAATTTTTTCAAACCCGACAACAATACAATCAATTAACGCGTAATTTTAATTACACGAACAATTTTTGAACGTTAAATATTATTTGACGTTAAAAGTAGAGGTTAAAATACGAAAAACGTAAGTATCATAATATTTGCCCGACTATAGTTGATCCTAATATTGAACTTTAAATCATACCAATATAAATGCATAAAGAAGTTTTTTTCATTAAAGTTTTAATCGATCCTGGGACAGTATCAACCTTGAGTTTTGGGTTTACGTTAACTCTACATGATTAAATTTGTATTGCTTTTATAAGAAAAGGCATACATTTTTTTTTGTTTTTACCTACACTGAAAGCAAACTGTTCAAAAGTTATCAAAAATTATAACATTTTAATCATTATTTGCAGAAATATTATCACAGTTCCACCAACGTAAAAAATACAAACGTAATAAAGCCAAACTTTGCAGAACAAATGGCTGAATTAATTCCTCGTTTGAATTATTACTATTTACAATGCGAAGGATTTTGGTTGGAGCAAACCAACAGTAAGTAAGAATAATAATAATTGAGAGGGACGTGTCGTGGGCGCTTGGTGAAAATCATCATAAAGTCGTCAGTCCTAAGACTGGATGGACACGAACCTCCACTCTTTCCTAATCTTCGCATTTCTCTAAAACCAGAACAGTGATCTAATCTAGGTCTACCTCTACCCCTCCTAACTCCTGCTTCTCCCTCTAATATGTCTCTGACTAGACCTTCATGCCTGAGAAGGTGTCCTACCAACCTATCTCACCTATTTTTATTGTCTTCCATAGAGTCCTCTATTCTCCTATCCTTTTTAATATCTCTTCATTTCTAGCCTTCTCTATTCACGATATCCTCATCATTCGTATGTAACACCACATTTCGAACGCTTCTAACCTTTTCTTTTCCACCGCGCCCACCGTCTATGTTACACACTCGATTTTCTAATAACTACTTAATACGTTTAGAACACTTGCTAGGTGTGCTTACATTACAAAAACATATTCTCAAATATGACAGGGTGGTCGCGGAGAGTGCATCCGGTCCTGGTTGGGCCTCCCAATTTCGGGAAGTCTTTTTTAATGAAACCTTAAGAATCTTAAATTAACTTGAAATTTGGGAAATTTGAAAATCTAATACATCACAAATGAACAATAACTGTAGGAAGCAGAACCTTGTTGTTACCTTGTATTAATAATTGCAGGCCTTTTTGAAATATTCAATGACGTTCAATCGTTTCTTATCAGCATCGATACTCAATTTCTGAAAAAGATGCACATGGAATTTCAACAGAATTTCGATTTGATCCAACAAAATACTGTAAAAGAAGTGAAGGGTTTACTTACAGAGAATATTGCCAACGTTAGAAAGATACATGACAAACTGCGTCCACTTCATGGATACGTCAGTAACAATAAATTACTAGAAGAACTGAAAAACGAATATTACGAAACGTGCACCAATAGCATCGTCACCATTGAATGCTTACCTGAACCTTATGATGTAAGAAATACGTAAATTTTTCGTTTTATTTACGATATCTCAAAAAAATCAGGAGATTGTTTAGTTTTGTTGCGCCCAAGGGGTAAAACCTACCCAAGCGTGGCAAGACAGGACGACGCTCTTGCTCGGACCATTCGACCAATCTCGTGACTCGTCTATTTTTTCCATGAATTTTATGACTAATTTTAAGTAAAAAGTCTGTATTCTGTCAGAGCGGTCTGCGACGCGCTGATGAGATCCAAAAAGATCGAAATCGCGATCCACGTCTTGCAGTTTCGACAGAATACAGACCACTTCGAATTATTTTATTCGATTACGGTAACGTGCCTATCACGTTGAGGTTGGCTACGCCGGGATTCGTTTCAGCAAGTAGATATCCATATATTTAAATGGACCTTGTTGGAGCATACGTAATCCTAAAATGTAGCATCGTGCTACAGATGGCGTTTACTGCGCCATTTGTAGTATTTTCTAAAACGCACTGTTAAGACAGCAGGTAAAAGTTGGTCTGTGTTCTGTCGGAGCTGCCTGCGACGCGCTGATGAGATCCAAAAAGATCGAAATCGCGATCCGCGTCTGGCAGTTTCGACAGAATACAGACCACTTCGAATTATTTTATTCGATTAAGCTAACGTGCCTATCACGTTGAGGTTAGCTACGCCGGGATTCGTTTTCAGCAAGTAGATATCCACACAAGTGGACCTTGTTGGAGTATACGTAATCCTAAAATGTAACATCGTGCTGCAGATGGCGTTTACTGCGCCGTTTGTAGTATTTTCTGAAATGTGGACTAATTTTGATATCGTCTTACAAGGATTGCGTTAAACATCTTTATCTGGGTGCTGATATAAAATTGGTCATGAGTTCATTTTCCTAGAATATGAGTTTTATTAAGTACACTGAGAAATAAACAGGCATTATGTGCTTCATTATTAAAAAATTGGTTATCTTCTTTCAATTTTCATCACAGGTACAAATAAATGAAATGGTAAAAAACTACGAGGAAGACCTGATTACTGTGAACGAGAATTTACAGCTACTGAAGTTATTTTTAAATGAATTTGCAACTTTAATAATTCCTATTGTACCCCAATTTGAAAAGATACTCGACAACATAGTGCGTTTTATTAATGAAGACAGCATTTCCGAAGTCGATTCAGGCAAGTATGATACAAACTATTCCAAATTACCATACGTAGTTAATTTTAAATAATGAAAGTTTAAATAAATAAACCAAAAAAAGGCTCGCCCTATTTACCGCAAAACTTAGGGTGTGTTCCGAAATATAACCCAGCATACTGGTCAGTGCTGATGACGTCATGAATCGACGCCATATTGTACTGGTATGCCACCATATTGTACTGGTGAAAAAAGTGTGTCGTAACAGTATATCAAACGGGCGTGTGTGCTTCAGAATTTGGACAATTTTTTATTGTAATAAACGTTAATAACTTTTGGAGCAAAATTGTTGTAAACGAGCACAAACACTATTCTCAATATAGCGTCAATTAGACGTCAACGCACTGGCCAGTATATTTCGGAACGAATCAACAGTATGGCGTCGATTCACGACGTCATCAGCACTGGCCAGTATAACGGGTTATATTTCACCCTTAATCTCTGTGGAGAGTGACAGAAACGCAGTGGCCATGTTTGAGATGTGTCTCCATTTTCACCTTTTAATAATAGTTTATAATAACAGAATATCACTTGTCTTGTTTTAGAATCACGAATGAAAATACAGTTTTATAAAGAATCAATTCCAATCCCTTCTAACTACAGTCTGAACTTAAACAATAGCAAAATAATTTTGAAGGAACTTTCAAACAACACGGGAAATTTATCGTACATTACAGGCTCCTTCGAGTCACCAGTGGAACAATTTGATGTAAATGTTGAAAACTTTATTCAGGTAAGTATTGAATTTGAACTTCTTTTCTAACGTAAATATGAAGAAACATGTGCCACTAGTTGTAGTCAGTATTTATAGATGTCGACATACTGTCAATCTCTTGATATTAAATCAATTAACTTGCATCAATCATAAACGGTAACTTTAATATTGTAGATAAGTCAAGACAATGCCAAGGTTCTTATTGAAAAACTAATAACAATGAAAGACAGCAGTTTGGTTACCATCGAAGAAGATAAAAAAAGATTCAATTTTGATGTGCAAACAGTGATCAACCTTTATGCCCTCAGATATGATGCTGGGGACCAACCTGAAGAACCAGCCGAGAAACCGAAAGGGAAAAAGAAAAAGAAATGATTTGTTTTAAATTTAATAAAAATGTGGTATCATTAAATTTGCGGTTTATTTGAAATACTCCTCATGATGCGTAATTTATTGGTTAAGTTCCAAAAAGATTATATTTATGATAAACGTTTATTTTTGGAGCATCGCTCTGTACTGGTGTGTAATGTAGACAGTGAGTAAGGTGAAATAGAATAAGCTAACAGCAGTGGTTAAGGTGATGAAAATACCTTGGACTTGATAGCTACCTTCACTCCATCGTCCGGGTTGTAATGATTGCGCTTTAGGTCTCTCTTGAGTACAAGAAAAAATAAAAATCGCTGGGCGCAAGATCGGGGGAATAAGGAGGGTGTGGACTCGTTTCAAACGTCAGGTATCTAACATGACAAACTAGGCTTATAGAACGACAATACATTCTAATAGATTCGTTCGTACAGACTCATTGTCAGTGGATGACATAAGCTGAATCTCTTAAGAATTTTTAGGGTACGTCAAGCACTGTAATGACGACATCACAAAAAGGTATTAAAGGAAAGGAAAACAGGTCCAAAATTAAATACACTTTGCTCACATTTTTAATTACAACAGTAAGTTATATAAGCAAATAAATTAAAAAAGTTGCTCCATCCAATCTCATTATATTTTGTAGAAAATATTGATTGATAATAATTCAGAATATTCCCAATTTTTTGTCACGCACACCCTAAAATGGGTTACGCAATTTCAATTCTTCGTAAGCAAATCCCTTCAGTTATACTGTAGCCGTTGTCTTTACAAGATTATTTAGAAAAGTATTATACATACACTTAAAATATTAATAAAAGTGATTGAGTAATAATGTTCGACATTTTAAAGAAAGAAAGTATTACCGAGAAAAATATGACTTCAATAGTTGAACTATTTAAACAAGCTTGGCCAGTAGAGTCATGGAAAAAATATGGTTTATTTGATGAAAGTTACATTTATGAAATTAATTTACACTGGCTACAGTTTCCACCACCATCCAAAACAACGCATTATGCCCTAGCAGTATTTTACATAGTATTTGTTGTTGTTGGAACTTTTGGAAATGGAACGGTTTTATTCATGTGTTTAAGGTAAGGCTTCATATCCAAGGGCATAAACAGAATTAAAAGCTACTTTAACACCTATCAAAAAAAGGCAACAAAATTTCATTACCACAGTAGGTACTAAAGAAGTATATAGCTATTATCATCATCCATCATCTTAGATCCAAACAAAGGAAATAATAACAAATATCAGTGATCCTGAATCCTAACACTGTTGGATCCAGAAGTATCTCCAACTGAAAAGAAAATGCAAAATGTAATTACATCTCATGTTTAATTTCTTGGATTAAGTAGAAATCCTATTCGACGGGACTTGAACCTTGACGTAACTCTTGTACAAACTAGAGTGGGTGGATCGGCTTGCGAGTTTCGATGATATAGGGAGCCGGACCGTAGGTTCAACCATAATGGGGGGGTTCAAAAGAGAAACTAGACTAAGACAAGTCCCTGAAAGAGGGCAGCAGCTCTTTCAGTACTCAGGGTGGCAGAGATCATGGGGATAAGTATGGTGCGATGTGGAAGGCAACGGGAAACCACCATATTATGGTTCCGAGTAAAACGTACTAGGATGTAGGTTGTTCCAGTTGTAGAGAAATGCGAAGATTAGCTCAAGATAGGAAAGTGTCCAACTGACGACCTGATGATGATGATGATGATAGGTAGATATACATATACAGCTAGGACCTGTTATTTATTATTGACCATCACCAAGACCAGAGCCCAAAGTGGCAGATGATAATACTCATGTATTTAGTGGCTTAACCATACCTAGAAACTCTCCTTACCCTATTACCCTTCTTATGTAAGCCACTGGTCATATTTAAGTCCCTACTGCACTGAGCTTCAAATACTGATAACATAGAACATTTATTTTTTCTTTAATCCAACATTTAATTATAAAGTCTAATCAACAATAGAAAATTTTAAGCAAAGGCGCCATCTGACATTAATTGTAGTAATTTAGACATTATACAGAAAAATAAAGTATATGTATTTATGATGGATCTATTGATTATTTATCTATTTCCTTGTAGGTGCAAATCGTTACACAATCCTGCAAATACTCTTGTGGCTAATTTGGCTTTTAGCGATGGTTGTATGGTATCTTTCATGCTTGTTTTTATCTTCAATAGTTTTACTCTAGGTCCATCCTTTGGTTCCATAGGTAAGTTTCTCACTAACCACTTTAATACTGACAAAGATTAGAAAAGGCAAATCCACTTACTACATGTATCACATGGTGGCATTATTGAGAGATTGCGTGTAGAGCAGCAATTTAATGGCATGTATTCCATGTTTCGTTCTGCTTGATACACACACGCATGTAGAACGAGAACAAAAACAAATATGTGGGAAGATTGGGCAAAAAGTACATGAAAGTACAGTTCTTAAGCTCCAAAATCGTCTATTTACTTTTTCACTTTTCTCGAATCCAGGACTAGATGGCTGCCTCCACTTCATTCCCCGATATGTAATGATTACCGTTGGGGTCTTCCTTGTGTAGAGGAAAAATATTAAAACCTCAGGGCGAAAGTGGAATCGATTCAAACAATTATGGGCGCCTCCAATAACACGACAAAGTTTACGTTGAAGGTGTTTTAGAGACAATGCTCGTCCATATAACTCGCGGACAAACAAAGAAGCTTTGCGAAACCTGAAGTTTGAACCGATCCTGCACCCTTCTTACCATCCCAATCTTGCGCCCTGCGATTTTTATTTTTTTCCTCTCAAGAGAAACCTCAAACGATAAAGTGAAGGCAATTATCAAGCCCTGAATTCGATAAGAACTTGTTGCAGCTTTAGAGACATACGTTACACTAAGTTTGAAACTTAATAATTACACCTTAATATGTTTTTTGTCGGATCTTAGTATTTATTTTTGTTTGTGTTCTACTAGCAAATTTATGTGCAATAGTATTCAGTCTCCCCTAGTAAAATGGACAAATAATCATGAATGTACGTCATGGAACACAAAAAACTAAGTAATCTGCGCATTATGTTGTAAGATGAAATGGGACGAAACAGTATGTACTATATCACGTAACGAATTATCCGACCGGTCACTTGCTTAGTTAACGCCGCAAGCTCCCTTCCAATATCTTATAATTTTTGCCGATCATTCCGCGATGATATGTCCGAATTTTGAACTTATTGTTTTGGATTGTAGACAGTGTCAAAGTGGTCATTTTAGCGCCAAATTCGAAAGTTTGAAATTGACCGTTCTTGAGAAATCAGATAAAACAAACGTTTTCTGATGATTATTCCGTCGTAGTACGAGGGTGCATTTTTAAGTTCGCGGAATGGGTAGGTAGCTCATTAGTAAGAGTACTTACTCAAGTCATTACGAATTAAGGAACTCATTGTTAGTAATATTACCAAGTTTTATCGTAATTAGGTCAGTAGTTTTTAACTATCGTCGACGAAACAATAAACTTCTTTACCAAGCAAGGAAAATCATTTCAAACCATACTGGAAGAGATATCTTCCATTTAGGGGAACTCTTGCCTAGGTAAAACCGTGGTTTACAAGTTGCATGCCCTCTTTAAGCAAGGGACTCAATTGAAGACGACCCTCGGCCTGGCCGGTCGATCGAGGTGACCACTCCGGAAATCATTCAAAAAGTCGAAAAATTAATACTGGAAAATGTCCGACTTAAGAAGAGACAGTTCGCAAAAATGGTACAACCATTTGTAAAATTCTTCACGATCATCTTGCAATGACCAAAGTCAGCGTGCTACAGTCAGCTGGGAAAATCATGGCGACAGTCTTTTGAGACTCAGAAGGATCCCTTTTTTGATGGATTATGAAGATAAAGGTGTCTCTATAAACAGAGAATACTATGATTCAATTTCGATCCTAGAGCAGTTAAAGGAAGCAGTCAAACAAAAAAGAAGAGGAAAATTGACTAAAGGTATCCTCTTCCTCGTCCTCAACGGTCGCCAAGACAAGAGCTGTATATGATGGCTGACTTGCAAAATGTAAATTTAGAAATTTTGGCTCACCCACCCTACAGTCCTGTTTCCAGCGATTATTACCTACTTCCAAACTTGAAAAAAGTCTTTGTGGAAAGAAATTTTCAAGTTATACATCAGTTAATTGAAAGATCGGAAAAATATATAGGGGTAGCAGGTGAATATAATCAAAAAGAAAAATAAATTTGTACTTTTCTTTCCACTTTTTACCCCCCATTCCGCGAACTTAAAAACGCTCCCTCGTTTGTCCAATTTTAAAAATTATTGTTTTAAAACTTGCTACTGACTACGCATGGACTAAATTGTGCTAAGTGTGAACTACATCGGTAAAATCGTTTACAAAAGAAAGCGTGTCAACCGAAAGCCCTAAATCGGGGAAAAATTGAGCTTCGCTCGCCTTGAACGCGTTCCGCCCTATTCGTACAAACTATGTCGACGACGTTGGCGCAATCTTTCAATAACTGTACAGTCTGTGCTAGGGATGGGCGATATGCATCGATGTTTCAACTATCGATTTATTTTGGGGAAAACATCGATATTTTTAGTCGATATTTTTCTAGGTCGAAATATCGATAGTCGATGGAATAATTTCAACTATCGACATCGTTGAGTGATCTACCTACAGAGGGTATACCCCCCATAGAATGTTTATAATTTTATCTATGATAAGATTACTTATTTTATATTAATAAATGATTTTAATTATTTGAATAAAAAATAAATTGAAAATTCGAATTATCAGTTTTGTATGTTTGTTCTAGAGATAATTACAATTTTTTTAAATTTTCGCGCTCATTTCCAATATCGATATAAACAATCGAAGGTTCGATGGCGAAAATTTTAAAAAATCGATAGTTCGATGTTGATGTTTTTTACGGATATCGCCCATCCCAAGTTTGTGCATGTAAATTATGTTCACACTGATACACAAATGTCTATTAGCTAAATATGTAAATATTGCAGGATGCCAAATGTATGGATTTTGGAGCGGAGTTACTGGCAACTGTTCCATATGTATTCTAGCAGCAATATCCTTGGATAGGTATCATATCACTAGGGACCCATTAAAATATGTACTCAACCGTAAACGGGTAAAAGCATCTATAGTGTTTTGCTGGCTGTACAGTACGCTATTCGCAGTTATGCCTCTTTTAAACATCGGCGTTGGCAAATTTGTTCCCGAGGGCTACTTGACCAGTTGCTCTTTTGACTATTTATCTCAAACGAGCGCTGTCCGAATTTTCATATTCATTTATTTCGTCGGTGCTTGGGTCTTACCCCTATCCGTTATCCTGTACGCATATATTAACATCTATAGAATCACAAGAAACTCAAAAACGCTTGGTGGAAAGTTTTCCAGCACCGACTCATTTCGTCATTGCAGAAGAGAAAACAGACGCCGTCAAGAATTAAAACTAACAATCGTAAGTTCCGTAGCCATCTTCCTTTGGTTCATTTCATGGACACCATACGCAATCGTTGCATTGTTAGGGATAACAGGCAACGCACACTGGATATCGCCCTTTGCCTCCATGGTGCCAGCTCTGTTTTGTAAAACTGCCAGCTGTCTTGATCCCTTCCTTTACGCTTTCTCTCATCCGAAATTCAAAGGAGAAATTCTGGCGTTTTTGAGGAGAAAAGGAAGGTGGAAAGTGGAAATAATTCGGAAAAGGCCTCACGTCAGTAGAAAACAAGGAAGGAACAATGTTGAAACCAGTACCGTAGACAAAAAGGGATTAGAAACGGATATATTTAGCATAAATTAAAAAATGTAACACATTTCAGTTTAAGTACAAGTCCTATCTCGGTAAAACAGTTGTTATTAATGAGTTGATTAGCAAATGTTGCATTTGTTCATATTATTTTTTCCACTGGGTATCCAAAACTAGTATCACTGTACGACATTAAATATCAACAATAAGAAATATTCAAATTATGTCTGAACTGTCACTGCTATCTTACTTGCAACAATTAAGTACTATCATTTGTTTCAAAACAAAATACAATTAGTTTCTTAACATAAACAAAAGTAGAAAATGGGTTGAGGGTTCAGTTTCAAGTTGTAAGGTAATACAAATCAATAGGCAAGTGAGAGCCGTGGGGTCATTGCGACAAGTCGATATCTTTATGAACCTTGCAGAACATTTATGAATCCCATAAACTACAGCAAAGTTCTGCAGATGGCGTTCACTACGCCTTTTGTAGGAATTTATAAAACACTGCCTAAAGGAAGCAGATAGAGTTGTCCTATATTCTGTTGGAACTGTCTACGGCGTGCTGACGAGAGAGAGAAATTTAAATCCTGCGAAATGTAGCAATTACTTATCAACAAATGGCGCTGATTGAAGTAACCCACTATACGTATGTGTACACTCACAAATTATGTACTTCCAACGGTTGGGTCAACTTCACTGTTATAAAATGTAGCAAACACATACTTAGTATTTGAAATAAACTTTAATGAACGGTCTACATAATTTGACAGAATTAATTATTTATAATTTTATACACTACCGTCAATAAACGCGATAAAATTTTACAATATTATTAAGAGTAGCGAAAGTGGAAGGTGGGTAGTTTTAGCCGACAATGCTATGACCTCCAATTGGTCCTCCGATGGGTCCTGGACGAATCAGACCTGGTCCAGCAATACCAGGTACTATCCCAGGAACTTGGACGATTGCTGGTACACTCTGTACTGGGTGGTTTCGGTAGACAGTGCTAGTTGCTACAGTAATTCCTGGACCCAATCTGAAATGCACGATTACAAATTATGAAGACTTTTATATCATGTTTCAAAAACATGAAACGATGTATTGTAACAATTCAACTCTACCCCACCTTGGTCCTGGACCTATGAGTGACCTAGGTCCTGCAGAAAGGACCGGTCCATAAGCGGGCACAGCACCCAAAAAGCCGCAATGAGCAACTCCAACGACCACCAGAAAAACTGTCAACTAAAACATACAATTGAGCAATTATCATCCAGAGATGGGGGCAATCGGGTGATCTTCTGAAGCCCTCGCGCACAGATGAGTAGGGCATCCAAGCGAAGATAAAAACATTACCTATCTGTATCAATATTATAAAGAGGGTAAAGTACGTAAACTTGAGTGTTTGGGTGGAGGAGGTAATTTTTTGCAGAAGTATTCATCCAATTTCAAAAATTCTTTCATCAACATTTAGAATGAACCTTAGACTATATATTATTCCGTTAAAGTAAAAAAGGTTTTCATGGAGACTAATTTTGTAAGATTAATTCAGAAATTGATAAAATATTACTCATGGTCACCAACTAAATTTCAAAAAGGACACAGAAAGGTACTATTCTGAATATTTTGGACCAAGATGGCCCATTTTTGCTAACCAGGTAATCAGTTTTATCAATTCTGCAAGTTTGTTTGTTTTTTAAGTATTGAGATGTCTCTCTATCTATAAATTATTGAAAATTACTAAACGAATTACTTATCTACTTTTATATTTGAACACATCAAAAGCAAACGAATTTTCAGAAATTAGAAAAGGTTGAAATTTGGTATCATAAGAGAATGACGAAAATTCCGTGGTTAGAAAAATTGGAAGTGAAAAGGTATTGGAACTAGTAGAAAAACGGAGGACGCTTTGAAAATCTCCCGAGACACGAATGGCTAATTAGCAGTTAGAGACATATTCGAAGCAGAAGCAGGAGTAAAGAGAGACAGAGAAATAATTTCTTGCTTTATAAATAAAACTGTAAATGAAAGAAATGGATTCTAGTCTTATTTATTTACTAATCAGACTGTCATTATAAACCTTCCCTCTCCTTTTATATGATTAATAAAATAGATTGATAAAAGTCAGTAATCAGTAGGTATCAGTAATTTTTGTCTAGTGTCTTTGTCTCATCACATCGGCATCTCTTTTTTTACTTTTGCTTTAAAATGCCCTAATTTACAGACATAGCATCGTAAATAGTATAATCTTTAATAAAAATCTTACCTTGGCAATCATTTTGTTTGACTGTACCTACGTGTTGCTGTACCAAACTGATCAGTAAATTTCTTTTCTGGCTTTATATACTGCGAATTTGCCGGTTTCTGACCTGGTCATACATTAACCCATGTGTCTTGGATATCCGAACCCAAACATTTTTTTCTAACGTATCCTATTCGTTTACTTTCGTGTAGTCTAATATCACCAGGATTATTACGCAAATCTGCAACCAATACCTCTGTTTATCCATGTGTGTATGTAAAATATTCTAGAAGTTATCACATTTGCTGAAATGTACTTAATACATATTGCAAAATCAAAATTAAGTCCTTTCTAAGTTTTAATTTTTTTTTTTTGGCAAAGAAAATACGATTATTCAAAATATCAAACCAAAATCGCAACGAACTTTTAATAATGAAGTATCAAATTCTGCTCTCAAGTAGATATAAAGAGAATGAATGTTCAAAAGTTCATAAAAAAGCACTTTTATCCGTGGGATTTGGAGAGTATATCGTCATAATGGCCTAAAATGGGGTTTAAAAAATACGATTGTTTAATGAAATAAATGTTAAACCAATGGGACATGAAATATAAAAAGATAATATACTTATCCCTTATTAGGAATAGATTTTTAAGTGATGCAAGTTGAGGGGGACGTCGCTGCCCTGATCCACAAGATGGCCTACTTGTGCTGCAGAAGAACAATAAGTGATTGAATAAAAATATTTATGAATGAATGCAAGAGTCACAGGCCAAAGGAAGATATGAGTGATTTAATAATTGATAAATTAATAATTAAAATTTGCACGAAAATCTATGAGTGCTTACGTTAAAGTAGTAAAAATATGAGAGACAAGGCGGTTTATAGAAAGACATAATGTTCGGAATAAAAAAGTGTGAAACAGAGTAAAAAATTAATTTAAATGTTTGGTTGATTTTTATTTTTGGGATAATTTTTATGTAAAAACTTATGCAAAGGTAAAACAACGTGAAAATTCAAAAAGGAAAATAATGAAGATTGATTGACACTAAAACAGTATTTTTGAAATGTTTATGATGAAAAATAAGATCTTTTATCGGCTGATGGACATAGAAGTATGATCGAGGTTGAGGAACAAGGAACCAAAAAAACATCATCTCACTTTTTGCTTGAAAATTTTTCACTATTAAAAGAATTATATTTCATACTAAAATGTAAATCAATGCAGTCGAACTTTTATACATTTATTCCAAAGCTATTAACTCGAATTTTTAACTAATTCTGAAGAAGGTAACTTTTAGAAAATACTGCAAATGGCGCAGTAAACGCCACCTGTAGCACGATGCTACATTTTAGGATTACGTATGCAACGCGCTGATGAGATCCAAAAAGATCGAAATCGCGATCCGCGTCCGGCAGTTTCGACAGAATACAGACCACTTTGAATTATTTTATATGAAGGTAACTTTGTTACCAAAAAATACTTTGGTGCAGGAATTTGAGGTTTATCGTGTTTAGTACCACCAGAGTTCCTCTATGTAACTAACTTGAATAAACACTAGAAGACCCCAAAATTCCACAAAACGTTGAGAAACCTAAAGTGCGTTTTGACACCCAAAGTGTCATCCTCCCCAATGTGTCATCACCCTCAGTTAGAGGATGATACTTTGAATGCTGAAGCACGTTTTAAATTTTGAATCGTTTTGTGACATTTTGAGATACCTACTTACATTGTTTATTTAGTGTTTATTTGGATAGCAACTAACAAAATTAATGTAGCCAAACGTTGCTTGAAAGGGGTAAACACTTCAGAAAATAAAATGCTCTTCAGCTCCAAAGATTAATTAAAAATCAATTCCTGTATGGAAATTGTCATATCACAAAAAGTAAAAGGAATATTCCATACAAAAATTGTCATTGCATTTTAATTGTATTATCTAGTATCTACAGATATTGCAAAAAAAGATATTATTAAATTTTAAGTATGTATACTTGTAGTTCTAACTTCAAAAATAGTCTGTATCATTTTAAAGTTTTAGAATAAAACTAAAATGACATATTATCTTAAAGTATATAATAAATACTCATAACTTTTGTATATTTTTGAAACTATACTTAGAGACATTTTCTACGATTTGATCGAGAATAACATTGAAACAATTATTTTAAAACGCATTGCAGATATTCCTAAAACTGCAGTGATAACCCTTAAACGTTAAAAGCTTTAAACAACTTTAACAAAAATCATTAGTTCCATTTTGTCTTTTTTTATACTTCTGATAAGCGTAAGGTACCAAAATATTTGTAAAAAAAACTTTTACTGTATATCAAATACAACATTGTCTCCATGTTCTTTATTTATTTCTTTTGTGTAGCAATTATACAAATTACTTTACTATATTGAAGAAATTTTTAATGTTTTTTAGATACCCAGAACGATATAGTACATATCAAAAAAATTCTTTTTTAATTATTTTTAATACAAAAGAATGCAATAAGTGTATAATACAGTAACTAATTGTAAAATTACTAGTAGTAAAAAGTTTGAAAAAACTAAGTAGGTATATACAAAGTTTATGAAATTAATCGTCACATTCATAAAAGAAGTCCCCAATATTTCCCGCCTTTTAAAACGTTTCACTTGAAGTTAGCAAACTTTTCTAAAATAATTGCTGCCAATAAATTTTGAACAGAAAATATATTTACAATCAAAACCTATATTGGCAAGCACTATTTTATCTAAACTAATTAAAAGTGTGCATTTTACTTATCCTAATTATAAAGATAATTCTTGTTTTTAAAGCAACATATTTATTCTGGTAGGTTTCGAATTGAAATATACGTATACCCACAATGTTTGATTGAGATAATGAATATTTGAGTATTGGCTCCCCTGTATTATGAAAACTAAACAAGTCAAACGTGAGAGGTTATAATTATGTTGTTTGTGTGTAAATATCTCAAATTTTAGATTGTATTATGATTACTTTTTAAATTACAAGAATTAAGTTAAAACTTTTATCCTTATACCTGTTGTCATAATGGAGAACATTTCCAAACAACATATTGCTAAGTTAGTTCTAGGTGAGTTCCAAAATATGTATTAGAAAATTTTATGTAATTGTTTGGTCCTGTCTTCTGTCAAGGATACCTCAAAGATGAAAAGTGCAAGAAGGCATTTCGTTATTTATTGGAGAGTTCACCTTATTTAAGGGGATATTTGCGAAAAGTAAAGAAAGGAAAACCAATTAGCACTCGGATATGTGGATTGAATTTGGTTGATATAATAAATGAATATTCAGTTATTTACAGAATTAGTGAGACTCCATATGCCAAGTTTATATTTTATCATTCTTAAACGTTAATTTTTAGTTCAAGAGAGATTAGAATCCACAAATTACTTCAACAAAACCCAAGGTAAAAGTTCCTTGGAAGAGCAACTCATCTATTTATTAAACAGAGTAGAATACTCACCTTCAAGTAGTCCCTGCAGTTTCGCAACAAGGTACAAGTAAAATTTATTCTCTTTAAATTCTACTAGTTGCCTAATAAAATCATGTTGCAGGTCATCTTCAGAGAAAGACTTTAGTTTTATTCATACAAGTGGAAATATTTGCAATGACAGTTCACATAGAGACAGTTCACAAAGGGAAGATAATATAGTAGATTGTGTGGATAATATAGAAACAAGGGCGACACTCTCTAGCAGCTTGCCAGGAAATGTAAATAGATCAACTGAAAGTGCTACCTCAACCGCTTCTACAAAGAGTGCAAGATTGAGACACGAAGATTTGGAATTGGTAATAGAGGTAAGAAGAAATATTTAAAGCTTTTGTTATTGTAGTTTTTGTTTGATTAAGGAGGTTGACACTGTAGACTGCAGGGAAAGCATCTATATATTCGTACACTTTCAAGCATATCTTCTTTTTAATGTATAATGCAATTCTTAATCATCCTGAAAATTTGCAGATGACTATAAATAAATAAAAAGTAAATGCTTAAATTTCCATCAAATTATCTCTTACATCGTTTCATATGTCCTGTCAAATCATAAAAGTATGCAGTTTTCATAAAAATTCATGTCAATTTGTTTATTTAATATCTCTAATAATTAAACAAAGTATAAAAGTATTATATCTTTATCAATGATGTTAGTTATATCTGTTAATGAGGATTAGGTCAGAAATTATGTGACGATAATGGAGGTAGGAGACTGATCTTATTGAGGAGTATAGTGTTTTATGGGGTGGAAATATGATGATGGGAGGAAAAAAGCAAATAGAGGTTTTATATAAAAAATATATTAAGTGGTTTATTGCAAGGAAGGAAGGATGCAAGAGGATATCAGGAAGGAAATGGAGAGGGAGAAGTTATTAGAAATAGGGGCAAAAAGTAGATGATAGAGAGGGAGATAGGGCTTTAATGTATTACAAATAAATCAGGGGTAGGTAAGGGAGAGGTTGAGGGGGTCAATGTAGAAGAATTGCTGAGGAAATGGTAAGGGGAGAGGATTTAAGAAATATAGAGGAGCCAAAATATGTGGTGGGGCTGAGAGGGGTTTAGTGGAGGGACGCAAGGAGTTTGGGTGCAAAAGTATTTAGAAAAAGTGAAGGAAATAAATGTTATAGCAAAGTTTAGGGCCATTAGAAGTAGATCAATTTATCAGTGTCATAGATTAGTGCAGAATAGTCTTATTGCATTGACAAATGCGTGAGTTACTAGACTGTAGATTTGACGTATAGGTCCTGTAGCACTACCGGCGCGTAGTCCATATCTAAATCCGTTTAACTTCTTTGTGTGGGGTTGTATGAAAAAACGCATGTATCGAACGCCAATACAAAACGCTAATGATTTGCACGACTGTGTATGATCACTGCAAATGAAGTACGTCAAATGCCGAACGTTTTTGCGAGATCCAGAAATAACTTTTGTAGTGTACATACGTTTATGTATGTATGTTTACTGGTGTCGCATTTAATTTTTTTTAATGGGAGGACAGAGGTATTGACGACTCACCCTTAGAAAAGGTAACGCAACTTGGCAATACCTCAGTGATGATTTTGAAATTTAATCAAATTGCTATTACCTACCCAGAGGATATTACTTTACTTATTAAAGTTTGTATAAAGTAAATTTTTTGTTTCTTGTGTTCTCAGTGCCATGTCGAGGTGTACTTTAAATAGTACTGTATACTATGTAGCGGTCTGTAGGGTTTCTGTACATGTATTTGCTATAGTGAACTATAAGGGTAGAGGGAAGTGCGTTCGGACGTCTCTCTAACGATAGCGGTGTTGGTGAAATATGAAAGGGATTAATGTACTGGTGTGAACGGGATGATCGATAAATGGAAGAAGGTTTGAGAAGAAGAGTGAAAGTTATAGCCGCATGGCGCGTCTCTGATAGTACATTTTGGGAAAACGCAATTCCTATCACCTATCATATACATAGAGAAAGCAAGTAGAAGTCCAGGGAAAATGTGTGGATGCGACCTCACGTCGAGAGGTTTATAGAAATTAATAAGAAGTAGAAAAGAAGAAATCGCAAGAGATATTTGCGGCAAGGGTCCTAACAAATCTACCGGCCTTACTATATTTTTATGGTTTTTATTTTATTTTGATGGTTACTTCTTTGGTTTTTTTTTGAAAACGAACCCATTTGTAAAAATACCCTGTGCTTGTGCAACTGGGCACTATCAGCGATGAACAAAGTAGTTGTTAAAATAATTGTTATCGCAATGGGCGTCTAAAGGTTATTGTGTGTAGTGGCGTAGTAGTAAGGTGTTGATATTTACATTATTAGTCGTTCCACAACCGTCACTGTTCACATTTTTCATCGATGTAGTTGTTTAGTTGTTATCGCAATGTCTATACGTTTCCAATTTCCACCCGAGCCGGCTTCAGATTGCAACTTCGTCTGTTTTTTTTTGTTCCTTAACCACGCTGCTTCACTCACTATGCGATTCCCTATTGCATTTAGTTAATACCCTGCAACGCATTCTACTTATTTCAGAAACACTCTGTATATGTCTGTTAATTTATCTGATATATGTTAACTTTCAAATTATTAATATTCTTATTCGAGAAATCTTATACTTAAATTTTTAATTTTCTGATTACTTTAACATAAAGAAGAGAACAATTAATTTAAATGCCTCAGCAAGCCTTATAAACATCTTTCATATTTTATCTCACTTTAATTTTCCTTTCAAACTATTTTTTCAGCTCGTTTCTCAGAAGTTAGCACAAAATCGCGACTTTCACGAAAAACTCGCTGAAAATATCAATAAAGAGTTAATTTCTTTTTCTACATCACCATGTGATGAGAAGCAAAACCCATTAAATCAAGAAATGGACAATGTCATTAAAACAGTTCTTCAAAAGACTGAAGCCGATCCACTTTTCCACAAACTTTTAACAGATGTTTTAGGTATGCCTACAAATATTCCACAGCATTAAACCTTTTAATTCATTTATTATTTTGTATTAAGATTCAGTTGAAATTCACAATCTGGAAGACTCATCGCAAAATGATTCTCTGGGTGATAATGGTGGACAGTAAGTAAAGATAAGCACAAATGTCTTAATATACTTGTGTCTTATTCTTGCTTTTTTTGTCAGAGATGAACAGAGGACCAGTAGCCAAAGTCCAAACGATCTCGTTATAGCATGTAGTGATTCTGATCAAAGTAAAAAAGATGCAAGTTCTAAAGTCACAACGACAAATTTTGAAAAACCCCTGGAAATTCAAGCTCCTTCACATTTCCTAAACACAAGTTTCACTAATCTAACAAACTCAAACATTCAGACGCAACAACTTTCATCAGAATACATTTCTAACACTGTCTACATCCCAGAAGTACCTTCGAGTAATCATTTATCCAGATCATGTTATGCAAAAGATTCATCCATTTCTCACTTTATTAATGTTGCATCTACTGTCCCAAATTGTATCACTATTCCTACTCAACCTTTAGTAGTTCATAACAGTCAAAATCAAGGATTAATCAACACTAGTGGTTTATTAATGGTACAGCAGCAAAATCAGAACCCATCGAAGTCTTACCAAGTTATAGGCGGAAAACCGCTAGTTAACATTGCCCCTAAATGGACTCCGTTAAATGAACAGGATATCATGTCAATGCCTACAGTGTTTATTTCAGATAATCAATCCATGATACCATCGATTGGTGAGTAATTTAGAATTGTATAATTGTATCATGTTTACATCACCTCTGTTTTCTTATTGCTCAGTAGCAGGTCAATCCCTACCTACAGCAGAAATGGGTAGAGAATCATCAGCAAAAAAAGCTAAAAGAAAGATTGCTCCAAAAACTAATAATAATATGCCTTCATTGATCAATTCCCCTCACCTTAAAACACCTTTTGAACAGAAAAAAATTAAAACTTTACTTCCTAAACCTTCTGTTGATAAAGATTCAAACACGCCACCAAAAATAAACATAACAATTACTACAACTACCACCACAACCAGTTACGATGAGCCTTACGACTCACGGTCGATAGCCGGTCAAGTAAACGATCCAATCATAACGACTCCGTTAAGTACGGATGCAAATTCTTGTAAGAAACCCACCCCAAAAAGTAACAGTTCCCACGTTCGTCAACTAGACTTTTCCACTCCCGAAAAACCATATTCCGAAGATCAGGAAGACAAGATAAAAGAAACTAAGGAAATCAATGAAGCTGTTGAAAATGTTAAAACCAAAGATATTAGCTCGCGTACGAAATCATGGGATGCGGACTTAAGAGCTCTTGTCGGAACTCCCAAGACACAAACAGAAATACCAACCAAAACACCAGCTAAAAAACGTAAAAGGACAAACAGCACTACCAACAATCAATCCAAATCTACCGACGAAAACCAGGCGATTGCAGTCGGCAAAAATAAAAAGAAAAAGCAAAGCTCTTCATCATCGTCATCTTCTACTTGTTCACAAGATGTTCAAGAAACTAAAAAACCTGCTGCAAGTGACTCGTTTTGCTCTGAAAATGGAATTATTAAAACAGATGTGGAAGCAGAGAAGCCAACTCCAGAAGAAACGATAGTTGAAGTTCCCATTCAAAAGATCGAACATACTGAGCCGAAATCTAAGCATATCGTTGAAGAACAAGAAAATGTTGGAGTGGGAATAGAATGTGTTGTGATTAACCGTGACATTAAACCTACATATAAAAGGAAATGCAACATTGACAATTCCAAAAGGAATATGATAGTCGAAAAATTCGTACCTAGTTCCACAACTTCTTTCAACGGTAAAAATGGTCCTGATGTAATAGACGACATGTCTCCTACTTTAATACTTTCTCCTACTAAACTTAACGCAAATAAACGATCGATAGTAGAGATTGACAATAAAGGCGATGAACTTTTGGAAACCCCTGATGAAGTGCATATTTCAAAAACAGCTCCCATACTCAATGCTAAACGTAACATTACCCCCAGCCTCGAAACGCCATTTAAAAAGGGACAACCACCTCCAAAAACTCCTCATTTCTTAAGTCCTGTTAATACCTCTGATACTCCGTTTACTAAAGTTCTTAAGGAACAACTTCAAGGACTTGATTTAGCTTCTTTTCCCACTCCTAAATTTCCGCTCACTCCCGATTTTAGTGTTACTCCGTTGACTCACGATCAGTCGCCATATTCACGAAGATCAACTGATTATTCCACCTGCAGTTCATATTATCAACCATCGGACACAGAGCAAACCAAATCAATAGAACAGTTACTTATTGAAGAAAGTATAAGATTGGAAAATAAATTAGAAACACCTACAAAAAATAACGAAGAAAGTAAGAGTATTGTCGCACATTTCTCTCATAACGACATCAATAAAAAAAGAAGTAATTTCAATAACATAATGACCGGGAAGAAAAATTTGAGTTTATTGAAAGAAGAAGAAAAAAATCTTCATTTGGATCTGTCCTCTTCAGAAGATAATTGTAGTTTTGATGACGAAAGTAGCAAAGGTTGGATTGATAACCATACAAACGACACTGTGATTCAAAATAAAATACCGTACTCATTACGGTCACGTGGAACAGTGGCCGAGATAAGAAAACAGGAAGAAATTTCCAAAGGTGAATCAAACATTCACGACCCTACAAAAACGAATGACATTTCGAATAAATCGGCTGTGGATTCAAAAAATTTTAATTTGTTGCAATCTTTGGAAGAAAAGCGAAAATCTGTAATTGCAAAGCTGAAACAAGATGACCTAAAAAGAGAAGAGGAGAATCAAAAATCGTTACAAAGAAATAAAGCGAAAACAACGGGAAATAAAAGCGTTTCAAAGAAGAAAGCAGGTGGTGATAGTGCTCGAAAAAATAATTCTACTCAAAAGAAGCAAACCCAATCTAAAATCAACATCGAAAACGTTCATTCAAACTCGGAAGAACTTTCTAAAGTAGAAAAACCTAGTAATAAACAGAAAAAGGTTCCACCTGCCAATCCAAAAATTAAAGGTGAAAAGTTAGTTGAGCCAATAGAAAATCTACCTTTTTCTTCAAAAATGGAATCAAATTCGGACGATCCTTTTAAGGTTCAAATGCATGCTGTAAAAACTCAAGCGATGACTTCTACTTCAAAGGATAAAGCCGGAACAGAAGACTCAAAAGAAGCAAAAATTGAGAATTCCACTGATAAAAATAAGAATGATACAACTATTTCGTCAAAAGATAAAGACGTGAACCTTGATAAAAAACTAGAAGAAAAAGCTACTCTAGAAACTACCAATGTAAATACTGTAACTTTCACTGATACTGAAAAAATCGATGATACGTGTGAAGTCGATAAGTCCAGTGAAAAAGCTACACATCCTGCAAAAACTAAAAGTGAAGAAACTCCTGCAAAAACTAAAATTGAAGAAACCAACTCATTACCTGAAAATGCACCAGAAAACTCTGGTGATTTGTCTTCGAAACCTGTATCATCAATTTCTGAAATCAAAGAAACAACAGATTCTCTAGGAAATGACGAAAAGGTGTCTGTAATACTCAAGGAAGCGTTACTGTCTAATTCAAGAGGCAAATATAGAAAAGCTTCAAATCCAGAAGAAGATATTCAAAAAGAAAGTTCTGATAAAAACCTAAAACAAAAAATTTTACTTCCTGTTGAAGACAAAGCTGATTTTATCGACTCAAAATTAAAAAACATATCTACAGTTGAAAAATCAGATGAACCAGATAAAATTATAGTTCATAGTGACGTGAAAATTTTCCTCGACAAATTACCAGATGGCTCTCTTAAATTAAAATCTCAGATTCAAAACAATACGAAAGAAGAAACCAAAATCACACCACATACCACAAACGAATGTGACCAAATTACGTCAACGTCTAGTAAACTTAATAAGGTGGAGGCAAAGCTAAAGAAATCCGATGCTCCAAACAACCCACTGTTCAAAGAACTTCAACAAAAAAATGCTGAAAAGCGTAGTTACAGATATTCACCAGTAGACGAAATTGTTCTTCACTTAAGCTCCGATGATAGTTTTGGAAGCCTTCAAGATAGCGCTTCTGTAACTGATGGAAGAAGTGAAACATTGCAACCAGTTGAATTCACAAGCAGGCTTTTAGAACCATTCGAACTTGTCCAAACACAACTTCACGAATTTAATTCCGAAAGTGAACGCTGTAATCTGGAAGACCAACTGAGAAAATTACACGAGGACAATTCTGCTAACGACCCTGAAATTCTTGTAAAGGAACTAAAAGAACGAGGAATCCATTTGATGCCTGCAAAATGTTCTAAAAGGAGCACTGTTGTTGGTAATAGCAAAAACGACAAGTTACATAAAACGAAAACCAAAACTAGTGCACAAACAGTTCCGCCAAAAGAATTAAATAAAAAAGGGGAAGCCAAAACTGATAAAAGCAGTAAAAGTTCCCAAATAGAAGCTATGATGAAAGAGAAAAAAAGAAAAGTGCTGGAAAGTACATCACTGGAAGAGGGAGAAATTCTAAGTGATTTAAGTGATACGGAATTGGTTTCTGAAAGGCAAACAAAGAGTAATAAAACTAAAAGTAGCCGATCCTTATCACAAAGGAAAGATTTAAAAGTCGAAGTAAGTAGATCAAGAGTTGATGAAAAAAAACGAAAGAACTCGACTTCTTCTCGGGATAGAGGAAAGAAGGATACAACTAAGTCATCATTAACCAAATCAAGCAATAAATCTGTCAAAAAAATTAGGCCATCTTCTACTAAAATTGCAGTTGAAAAATCTATCTCTAATAATGTTCCATCTTGTAATGACAAACAGTCGACATCCCAAAAGTCCAATGTCGAAACAGAATCGAATAGTCAATGTACTGATAGAAAACCATTAATGATAGATCAAAATATTAGTACCAAGGGGGATGAAATCAATGTTTCGCTACCGTTCGACACAAAAGTTTATGATACAGAAACCCTTCATTTAGTCTATGATGAGTCTAAGCAGTCGCATGGAAATAAACAATACAATTTTGAATTATTAACAAAGAAAATATCTGCCAATGTTTTCATTGAAGAAATAAACTGCGAAATTGAAAAAGAAATGAGTTTCACGTCTTTTACAAGTACACTGGACATTCCTTCAACTCTAAATGTTAACGTGCTTTTACCCCGTAAAAAAGCAAAAGTAGACAAAACCTGTGTCAGTTCGTTGGATAAGCTTTACAAAAAATTAGTAAAAAATTCACCCGAGCACACATCATTTAATTCTTCTCCCTTAGATTCCTTATATTCTCCATTCAAAACTGGATTGTATAATCGAAAACCTGAAGTAACAGAGGAATTCAAAAAATCGAAAACTAGCATAGAAGGGGAACAAAAATTAACAAAAAATAAAAACAGTGTTGATAAAGTAAGCAATAGAAAGAACCTTAAAAATAAACCAGACGGTAGTGAAGCTAGAAGATCAAATTCGACGAAGAAATCCGTAGATATACCAGAACTTCCTGATGATGAAATTGAAGTGATTGATGGGGTTATTTCTTTTAATACTGCAGAGAAAGTGAGGACTCCTGATCCAAACGATGAACTTATGAACTATGCCATCTGTGGCAGTGTCAGGATTGAAAATGACGATACAGAACCCAGGTGAGTTTTAGTTTAATAAAATTTATTTATCAGCGTACCAGTTCATTACCAATTTTTTAATTGCCTAAAAAAACAAAGTCTGTCTTTACATGATAATTCTATTAATTAATATTTTGGCTTGGTGACCGTAGTTCAGGATTGGTTCTCCTTAGATGAATATCGGACGTTTCGCCAGTTTTTGTGGTTGGTATCCTCAAGAATGTAAAGAGAACGTAAAATCCACCGCTACTGTTGTGTTGAGACTAAAGGTACCAACTACGGCAGCGAACGAAACGTCGGATAATCAACCCCATTGACGAACTCATCAAATAAGGAAACCTATCTTGCACCATAGCCATCAAGTTCAAATATCAAGCTCTCTTATTATTTTTTATCATGCAGAAATTAAGTATGAATATATTCGTTTAAACTCTATCACTTTTAAAGACGTTTCTTTATTAATCTCTACTGTAATTTTTAAGATTAATTGATATTGAAAACATAATTTTGAAAATATTCTAAAAAATGTGTATTTACCGACGTACCATTACTTTTAGTGATAAAAAACGGAAAGCAAGTGCAAATGTAGACGAGACACATGACGAGAAAAAAGTTCGGACTGATAATTGTCAAGAATTACTTAAAAAAATTGACGTGAACAGCTTTTTGAAAAAAGTTCACGGTAACGGTTGAATGCGAATGTAAATAACAATGTAATTTTTTACAGTTACAATTTGTTCTAATTTTATGGCAATTCATGAGTTTTTTTTATTGTTATTTAATTATAGTATACAATGTATGAATGAATTTCTTGAGCTGTTAGTTTTACATAAAAATGGTATTAATTAAAAAAGGAAATCGTTTTTAATCCTCGTTTTCTTTCTACCAGTCAATTAACACGTCCATTTAATACATTGTCAAATGGTAGTTATATACTGGTGTTTTGCACTATAAAAAAAAGAAAAGATTTATTTGAAACAATAGAATTTTGTGGCCTAAAATATAAGAAGGGAAAAAATATACTCCTTGTGCAAATACGTTACCCAAACAATGAGTAACAATAAGTTAAAAACAAGTAAAATTTAGGGTATATAAAAAAAAAATTATGAGTGCTGTCAGCACAGGGCAAAATGGTATTACGTAAATAAAAGTTAGTATCAGCAATTTATTATGCTGAACTGTACGATGTGTTGCATACCTATTTAGAAACAATTCCTTTAAATTTTAATCATTGATTACTATACATCTATTAAAAAACCATAATGGCCGACATCAGTAACAATGGGACAACAATTAAAAAAGAATGATGGCCGACAACTGCAACAATTAGAAAAGAATGATGGCCGACAACTGCAACAATTAAAAAAGAATGATGGCCGACAACTGCAACAATTAGAAAAGAATGATGGCCGACACTACGTCATAGTGGTGCAATAAAAATGGCCGGTGGCAGGAGGAAGAACTAGTTTCGTAAAAAGTAGTTTTAACTTTTTTTTTATTTAACAAGATTCATATTTGTAGGCAATTTACTAAATATATTCTACACTGCCCAAATAATTTAAGGTTGGGTTTCAGAATTGAGCGTTTAGAACATATATTTACACAAATTTATTTACTTTTAGAGCATAATTAAAATTTCAAAACAAAATGATATGCAATTCTTTACATCATAAAATTCAAATAGATTAAAACTTTACAGTGGAATGTTAATAAAGAGTCCATAAAATTAATATGAAATATAAAAAAGCAGCTTACACTTCTAGAGATTCAACAAAAACGTAACAGTTGCTGCACTAATCGTAAAATATTAAGTAACAATTACCTAGTTGCTCTTAATTCTACTTAAAAAATGCAAGTTATTTTTTAAAACTTAATCTAATAAACAGTAGATTCTTAGCACTGCATGTGCCCTATATGTAGGTATATACATTTGATTGCCTAAATAAAGTAATCAATAAAATTTCAGTCTGATTTTAGATATTATTTAACAGTATAACCAGTCTGTAGATGTAAGGGGTACAGTGTATTAAAATAAACACTATAAATTAATACAATCGTAACAGGGTTCTTTAAACCAAATACCGCATTTTAGAAAAGAAAATCCCCTCCCCCTGCTATCTATTGAAACCAAGATATACAGATATGTAATATGCATTGAGAACTTTGTTATTGTGGGTTCGCCCGCCCTAAACACGGGCCTTGCTTATTTTCCTGTATGCCCCTCACATCTTATTAAATGTAATTAAGATAAAAATGATTTAAATTTTTGATGTAAATTACTATTGTACATTAAAAATACGCCTGCGTATGTTTTTTGTTTATATAAATTCTAATGTTATTTAATTACCAATTTGACTATTGTGTAAGCCCTGGACCCATTGGACATCTTCATAAAAACCGGGATCGCTTATTCTTAACGATGCTCTTTTGTAATAATAATAGTAATACGGTGACACTAAAAAAAAATAATTTTTGATGTATCTTTCTAAAAATATTTTCAAACTTATGTGTATAAATAAAAATCGACAACATGGCGGTTCATTGTCATTGCCTTATTGATATGGCGTTCGTTTGTTGTGTTACGCCATATTGAAACAAAAAGTTGCGCGCTATTTTTAAATAGTAAACACGAAAGAAGTAATTCTGTTTTGAAAAACTTACTTAGTCTTTGTAGTATGTACATGACGTATAATCCTGATGACCAGTTATGCTTTGTGGGATCTTTCCATCGAACAGAAAGTGTCCAAATATGTAATATTGTAGTTAAAATAAAATAAAACATGCATATGATAATAGACAAACGAAAACGATCATATAACATTTCCACTAGGCCAGCCTAAAAAAAGTAATTAGGTACAATTAACAATCTAAAGACAGATAAATATTTTCGAAATTAAAAATTAAAAAATAACAAAGAAAACCGTAGACTGCTTTCATTTGTTTACCTTTATATGTTTTTAACTGGTTATTGTTTTCGTAATCTAAAAATACTAACGAAACCAGAAAAGTAAAGAAAAGGTCAAAAGTTGAAGGATTTTCAAAAGATTAATATCGATGGTTTGTCAGTAGGTAACGTAAATGCAATTGTTGGTAATTTGAATTATTATCAAAATTTACCTGGAAGACATACGTCGAAAAAAAGGTGAGAAGAAGTGCAGCTAAAGCTAAAATGAGACACACATCTTGAATTCTAAAACCCAAAAACAAATTTTCATTACTTATTATGATGTCACAATTACTACCACATTAAATAACTAATGTAACGTAAAAGAAATATTTTGTTACACTTACATGAACATAATCAACATTAATGCGTTATGCTTTCTAATTAAAATTGAAAACGTGTTTATACTAAGATCGACTATTAACAAGAGCGTCTGTATTGCTAAGATTGTTCCATATCTCCTTACTGTTAACTTCATTATTGTTTAATGCATTAAAGATGTTGCACGTTTATTCCGATGTCATCCAATTGACATCTTATTTGACAAAAACTCGTTTTTTTACAATAATTATAAATAAATCTACACGATTATCGAATTCTAGTGACCCGTATATCAGGCGTAGGCGTCGCGACGTCGTACGTCTGCGCTGACGTCATTACATTGAAATCCAATGGCCTTTTGTTAGGAAGAAAAATAAATTTCTTTTTCGTTTGAAACAGAATTTATGAAAATTTAATCACTTAGCAATTTTATTAACAATCGTATACAAACTTTGCCATCTGGTGTTTTAAAGGAATGCTACCATGACAACTATGTCGCAATAACATGAAAAAATCCAATAATAAAGTAATTGTAGTTGTTAATGTACATATTTTCGGATTGGTAATTACATTTTTTTGTCCAAGTTAAAAAAGTCTGGCCCAAAGTGCTTTGGTATTATTTTAAGTACGTACATATATATTTTGATTTAGAAACATTAACAGTTTAAAATAGTTAAAAAGTCAAGTAAATAACAGGAAGAATTTGCTTCATTACAAACAATTCGAACTTTCAAAATCCATGTAAATCTGTAAATTGTCTTTGTTTTGTTATTGCACTTGTTAGTTTTTATTTTTTGTTTTTCTAGAACATGGCGTCCAAAGTACTCCATTTTGCTTTTGTTTCTATTTTTACCTAAATACGTCTAAAATCCACCCTTCGATAATTATGAATCAGTATAATGCAATAAAAGAAATACTTGGTAATTTTTTATTGTTAATAAAAACAGAATACAATATAGTAACAAAATGAATAGCTTTTATACCATTAATGACTTAATGTAATAAAAATAAATTAATAATCTTTTTTAAGTAGGTTTCCAACCCACTAGTTGAAGTTTAGTGTTTAATTCTTCTAAAATTATTGAACAGTGCTGTTGTTTCTCTGGAGACAAATGAGCAGTGACTTCATCTTCTTCTTCCTCTTCCTTCTTTTGTTTTCTTTTCTTTGTTTTCGTTTCTTTCTTATCATCGTCATTTTCACATTCACTATTTCTTTGCCTCATCTAAAAAATAAATAAAACGGAATTAGTCCTTAAGACGGTCCTGTCTAATCAATACGAGGACGAAGAAAAGTCTAGCCATCACGCCAAGAGAAGTCACGAATACAGCCGAGAGTCGAGTAAAGTTGAAAAAGAAGGCTGTAAGAATGAAAAGAACTATGGCAACATAAGTTAACTTAATCCATCAAACATATTTACGGTTGCCTTAGTTTCTTTTTTTACTGTTTTTGCAAAGTAATTTCCTCTCTTTTTAACTTCATTCCATGTTCGGCTACACTCGTGAACCCTCTGGTGTGACGGCTAGAATCTTGTCATACAAGAATTTGTTGATTCTGTATCTAATCATACAAACCTTTCTAGTTTGTTTATCGTATTCTAAAGCGTCATAATAATTTGGCTTTTCTCTTCTAATTCGTTGAGTTCTTCTTAAATCTTCACTAGTGGAAGAAGTGCGTGAATTTCTTCTAGCATTAAAAAATAAATAGCCACATCGGCACGTTTTGCAGGCCACAGGAACCTTTAGGAAAAACGAATAATTAATATTTCACTACTTAACTTAAATGAAATGCAAAATACCTGCTGTTCACACTTGGGACAACATTTTGCTATCATTTTATGCTTCTTCATTTCACCGACCTTTCTGTTTTAATATTTATTTCAGTTCACACTAGTATTTCAGGAGACCTTGAATTTGATAAAAACAAAAATACAAAGGCAGGGACGTAACAAATAATTTGTTAAGCATATTTATTAATTGCCAAGCCGTTGATTAAAGTACATTCAACACTAGACAAAATAAACTATTTTATTTATTTTTCGAAAGGAGTGTTACCATTCAACAAGGTTGATATAATAGAAGGTTTACAAAAAGTTTAAATGAAGTATCAAGACAATTACCATAGTGAAGGACAATAATATATATGAAAAAAGATAGAAAATAACCTACATAATAAATTAGTAAATCTTGTTGATTACGAACAGCAATTAGTTACAATAAAAATTATATTAAGCACATTATAACCAAGATAAAGAGCAAATAGCAACAATAAAATTCTTAACTGCTTTTCATAAAATGTGTATGAAGTATTAATTGATAAATTGATATTCAAGTGCAAGTGTATAAAATTCAGTTATTTCCAATGTCTGGAACATCCGTGAATCCTATCAGGACAAGTATTCTTATAAATTCAGTGATTACATGCTTTTATGTTCCGGTTTTTATTTACTTCCTCATTTACGATCATAAACTGCATCATATTGGAAAAGCATCATTTATACAATACATGCAATTTTTGTGGGCAGCAGAGTTTATAAAATTTATTGTGAGATATTATATTACTTCAACAAATGTACAAGAGAAGACAAAAACAAAAAGGCATAACGTTGTTAGCCGTAAATTGATCGAAATCTTAAAAGTGGCTTTTGTTACATGTGCAACAACAATCGCCTTTTTTATAATTTTAGTGTTATTTGGTGCACCGATTCTTTCAAATCAAGAAGAAACACTTATGTTGTCAATACTAATGTCCAGTTTAATAATTTTTCCTACTTATTTACATTTGGGATGGGAATCTGGAAATTCTGTTCTACTGAATTTACATTTCACCCATGAAGACCTTTATGCAAGAATGTTGCAACAAAATATTGTATTAACAACTTTTGGGACTTGGCTGGGGGCAGTTGTTATTCCTTTAGATTGGGACAGACCATGGCAAGAATGGCCAATACCCTGCTGCTTAGGAGCCCTAGGAGGATACCTTTTTTCCCACCTACTAATAACAGCTGGACATTTCTTTAAGTCTGTTGATTGTATCAGTAATTGTTTCAAAAAGACTGGTAAGTACGGCATATAATCCGTTGGTTATTTAATATAGAAATGAAAAGTGTAGTATTAATTAAGATATGTAGTATTATTTTGTTTAAATGAAGGACAAAATATATAACGATCTTACTTAAAACATTTTAGTTTTAATGTTATACATTTGTTTTTGTGTGTTCAGTGTTAGAAAATTAATGTCTCAAACTTTGAGGTTAAAGCTAGAAGTTCTTATGCAACACTACTTAGCAGATACGTTTGATCTACGGTATTGAGTTAAAAGACCTAAATCGTCGCGTATCTATGCTTCCTAGTATAAATTCTCTATGGATATAAGTTATTGTCTACGGTATTGAGTTAAAAGACCTAAATCGTCTCGTATCTATGCTTCCTAGTATAAATTCTCTATGGATATAAGTTATTATCTATGGTATAAAATGGCAGGAGTGATAATAGATAAGTTTGTTATTTATGGTTTCAGTTTATCATTTTATAATTTTTATCTTGTCTATGGAATTGCCTATGAATTATTATTTTACTTTACTTCTTGTTGTTTATTGAGGAGTGTGGTAATGTTAATTTGTTTTTCTTGCCCCTTATTAATGCCAGTAAGTGGATTAGAAAACAATTGAAGGTATATTTACATACTACTTAAATTATAAGGGTGTCCATTTGATAATTTATAATAAAAGCTTGTGTGGCATTTCGCATTTCTTAATTTTTATCATTTTGTCGCATTATCTATTATAAAGACTAAATTTTATATGTACAATAATGTTCTACTGTTTTTTTATTTATATACAACTATTGTTGTATGTAACAAACCATTTATCAAAAACATTATACAAACTCTGAACACTATTATATGTCTTCAGGTATTGGAGATAGTAGTCATCTTGCACTTCATAATGTAGCAGTACCTGAAAGAAGCATGGTAGTGCCAGACAACACAGTATCTTTCTTTGGAATGATTTATAACAACTAACTGGTAACACCTTCAGCAGATTGCAGTTACACAGTCAGAAAGGTCAGTGACAACATTAATTATAAGTATGTGGGTATTAAACCTTTTACAATTTAATACATAGGAATGTACAACCATAGTAACACAATTACACCTGACAAACTAAATTAAATATTTTCGAAATATATCAGCAAATTAAACAAAATTTCTATTAAAGAAATTACATCTAAGGTAGAATTTTAAAATTTGAAATCGAATTGGTTTGAAAATCAAACTAGCTATAGTTTTTATTGAGATTTGGGGTTCTTGTTATTAATATATGTTGCAGAAAGTCACTTTTTAAATTCGTACTTATACAAACCCAAGGACATAAATGTTTATTCTATTCAATAAATCCTGAGATATTTTAAAAGATATAATAAAATTGATCTTTTAATTTAGTATTTGTTCATTAAAAAAAGTTTTAAGCTGATTTAGGAAATAATTATTTCAGGAGATTCATTATCTTTTTCTTTGAACTTTTCTAATGGAGAAGTGCAGCGTTAATGATGGATAATTTATAATTATGATCTTTGCATGGTCGTGAAAGTTTCATATTATCAATTATAATTTTTATAATAGGTACAGGTACTTGTTGACAATACCATTAAGTCTAACTGCAAAAATAAAATATTAATAAACAAATCAGAGTTTAAAATAAAGCAATTGTAATATCCAAAATTAAGTTTCTTGACCAGATTAGAAAACTTAAAATTCATAGGCGAAATATTAGTCATTTGATCAGTTTTAAGACTTTAACAATATAAAAAAATACTTAATTTTATTTATAATTATTATAAGAAAGTAATCAATTGTCTAAGGAAAATAAAAAGCTTTTTATTAATTTTAACAAACTTCTAGGAATATATATTACATGCATAACATAAATTAATCAGCAAAATGAAATTTCGAAGTGAATTATAAATTCATAAATCAATAAAATTCACTTTTTATTTCCACAAATGTGTAATTTACATCTGTTCATTTTTCAACTTTTAAAAGAGTACGTATGGTTGCCTAACCAGACATTCAAATTGTACGAATAAATATTTGTATCCGTCCTTCAGAACTGACCTTTCTGTCGTTCGACAGGTCCGGACTAAAATTTTTTGTGGGGCAGTTGCTAAATAGAATTAATATTTTTGTTGAAAAAGTTATTTTTGATTATAATATTTAGGTGAACGTGTCCATTTTACTAATTTATTAGTCTTAAAAACTACAAAATATTTTTTTACAATGAAGACAATAGGTAGGTAATTATAAATATTTTGCAAAATTAATTTTTTGTCAGTTAATTATGCCTGTTTGATATATTTTATCTACAATGTGAGTTTTCTGACTTTTTCTAATAGTAAAAATTCAATTGTTAGATTTTTAATTACTAAATTACTTTTGTTTATTAATTTATAGAGATCGTTTTGACTTACTAGAAAAAATAAGCAGTAAAAGTAAAATTAGGTAATTCCGTAAAAGGTATTTATGTAGAGCTTGTTTATGAAATGAAAACGAAAAAAATTTTTTTTTTATTCTTTGAGTTTCAAAAGTTTATAGACTAAAAGAATTGAAAAAATAAAAGTATGTCTTTACCTACATTCTTGTCCTGGTAGGTACCTAGTTCCTTGATTTACAAATGGCGGCTGGATGTACTTAGGTACTTCAGTATTTTTGTTATAAACATATTTTGAATTTGCCTCAATTTTACATTTATTTTAAGTCAAATATTCAATAAAATTAAAGTGTGATTTTTAATTGTTTGCGTACTATTTTCAAAGGACCCAGTGAAAATACCGAAGTGCCTAATGAAGAATCTTTTTTTTTTTTAATATAACAGTCGAAATAATTTCCTGAATCCGTGTCTGCTGCCATGATTTTTTAGAGTTTATTCTTTCCAGTAACTTGTTTTTTGTGCATGTTGAACACCGAAAATTGAGTCCTTTCGTAATGGAAAGAAAAGTAAAGGGGACGAAATGGTACAATAATAATGTAGCCGGTCTCTTATCGCTAAGCAAACAAATAAATCATGTTGTAAACATGTAAACTAAACGACTGCTTACTCACATATTTGTATTCCTGTTCTTATAATCTCTTCAGTTTATTTGCTTGGCAAATTGACCTTGCTATATGTTGTTGGAAGGACGCTCTACAAAAATTATATTGTAAACAGTAATATATTAGGCAATTAGACCAAGAAAAATACAATTAAAATATAGAAATGGAAATGCAAAACACTGACTGTCTTCACATTAAAACGCAACAATAAATATAATTAAAAAATTGATTATTTATGTAAGGTACGAAGTTAACAAACTCGGAGAAATTGGCCATCATCATTACCATTATTAGTGGGTTTACGGGATTTGTTTTGAATGTTGAGGTTCGGTGAAGTATGCATCGGAAATTGCTCTTATCAATAGTTCCAGGCGTATTTAAATCAGACTTTGAATAAGTGAACTGCAGCGTCTCAAAGAGACGTATGTTCTTAACAAACTCGGGGAACTTGGTAATCATCATTAGCATTTTTAATGGGTTTGCAGGATTTTTTTTAATGTTTGAGCTAGGTGAAGTATGCATCGGAAATTGCTCTTTTTAATAGTTCCAGGCGTTTTTAAATCAGACTTTAAATAAGTGAACTGCAGCGTCTCAAAGAGGCGTATGTTCTTAACAAACTAGGGGAAATTGGTAATCATCATTAGCATTTTTAATGGGTTTGCAGGATTTTTTTGTAATGTTTGAGCTAGGTGAAGTATGCATCGGAAATTTCTCTTTTTAATAGTTCCAGGCGTTTTTAAATCAGACTTTAAATAAGTGAACTGCAGCGTCTCAAAGAGGCGTATGTTCTTAACAAACTAGGGGAAATTGGTAATCATCATTAGCATTTTTAATGGGTTTGCAGGATTTTTTTGTAATGTTTGAGCTAGGTGAAGTATGCATCGGAAATTGCTCTTTTTAATAGTTCCAGGCGTTTTTAAATCAGACTTTAAATAAGTGAACTGCAGCGTCTCAAAGAGGCGTATGTTCTTAACAAACTAGGGGAAATTGGTAATCATCATTAGCATTTTTAATGGGTTTGCAGGATTTTTTTGTAATGTTTGAGCTAGGTGAAGTATGCATCGGAAATTGCTCTTTTTAATAGTTCCAGGCGTTTTTAAATCAGACTTTAAATAAGTGAACTGCAGCGTCTCAAAGAGGCGTATGTTCTTAACAAACTAGGGGAAATTGGTAATCATCATTAGCATTTTTAATGGGTTTGCAGGATTTTTTTTAATGTTTGAGCTAGGTGAAGTATGCATCGGAAATTGCTCTTATCAATAGTTCCAGGCGTATTTAAATCAGACTTTGAATAAGTGAACTGCAGCAGAGACGTATGTTCTTAACAAACTCGGGGAACTTGATAATCATCATTAGCATTTTTAATGGGTTTGCAGGATTTTTTTTAATGTTTGAGCTAGGTGAAGTATGCATCGGAAATTGCTCTTTTTAATAGTTCCAGGCGTTTTTAAATCAGACTTTAAATAAGTGAACTGCAGCGTCTCAAAGAGGCGTATGTTCTTAACAAACTAGGGGAAATTGGTAATCATCATTAGCATTTTTAATGGGTTTGCAGGATTTTTTTGTAATGTTTGAGCTAGGTGAAGTATGCATCGGAAATTGCTCTTTTTAATAGTTCCAGGCGTTTTTAAATCAGACTTTAAATAAGTGAACTGCAGCGTCTCAAAGAGGCGTATGTTCTTAACAAACTAGGGGAAATTGGTAATCATCATTAGCATTTTTAATGGGTTTGCAGGATTTTTTTGTAATGTTTGAGCTAGGTGAAGTATGCATCGGAAATTGCTCTTTTTAATAGTTCCAGGCGTTTTTAAATCAGACTTTAAATAAGTGAACTGCAGCGTCTCAAAGAGGCGTATGTTCTTAACAAACTAGGGGAAATTGGTAATCATCATTAGCATTTTTAATGGGTTTGCAGGATTTTTTTGTAATGTTTGAGCTAGGTGAAGTATGCATCGGAAATTGCTCTTTTTAATAGTTCCAGGCGTTTTTAAATCAGACTTTAAATAAGTGAACTGCAGCGTCTCAAAGAGGCGTATGTTCTTAACAAACTAGGGGAAATTGGTAATCATCATTAGCATTTTTAATGGGTTTGCAGGATTTTTTTGTAATGTTTGAGCTAGGTGAAGTATGCATCGGAAATTGCTCTTTTTAATAGTTCCAGGCGTTTTTAAATCAGACTTTAAATAAGTGAACTGCAGCGTCTCAAAGAGGCGTATGTTCTTAACAAACTAGGGGAAATTGGTAATCATCATTAGCATTTTTAATGGGTTTGCAGGATTTTTTTGTAATGTTTGAGCTAGGTGAAGTATGCATCGGAAATTGCTCTTTTTAATAGTTCCAGGCGTTTTTAAATCAGACTTTAAATAAGTGAACTGCAGCGTCTCAAAGAGGCGTATGTTCTTAACAAACTAGGGGAAATTGGTAATCATCATTAGCATTTTTAATGGGTTTGCAGGATTTTTTTGTAATGTTTGAGCTAGGTGAAGTATGCATCGGAAATTGCTCTTTTTAATAGTTCCAGGCGTTTTTAAATCAGACTTTAAATAAGTGAACTGCAGCGTCTCAAAGAGGCGTATGTTCTTAACAAACTAGGGGAAATTGGTAATCATCATTAGCATTTTTAATGGGTTTGCAGGATTTTTTTGTAATGTTTGAGCTAGGTGAAGTATGCATCGGAAATTGCTCTTTTTAATAGTTCCAGGCGTTTTTAAATCAGACTTTAAATAAGTGAACTGCAGCGTCTCAAAGAGGCGTATGTTCTTAACAAACTAGGGGAAATTGGTAATCATCATTAGCATTTTTAATGGGTTTGCAGGATTTTTTTGTAATGTTTGAGCTAGGTGAAGTATGCATCGGAAATTGCTCTTTTTAATAGTTCCAGGCGTTTTTAAATCAGACTTTAAATAAGTGAACTGCAGCGTCTCAAAGAGGCGTATGTTCTTAACAAACTAGGGGAAATTGGTAATCATCATTAGCATTTTTAATGGGTTTGCAGGATTTTTTTGTAATGTTTGAGCTAGGTGAAGTATGCATCGGAAATTGCTCTTTTTAATAGTTCCAGGCGTTTTTAAATCAGACTTTAAATAAGTGAACTGCAGCGTCTCAAAGAGGCGTATGTTCTTAACAAACTAGGGGAAATTGGTAATCATCATTAGCATTTTTAATGGGTTTGCAGGATTTTTTTGTAATGTTTGAGCTAGGTGAAGTATGCATCGGAAATTGCTCTTTTTAATAGTTCCAGGCGTTTTTAAATCAGACTTTAAATAAGTGAACTGCAGCGTCTCAAAGAGGCGTATGTTCTTAACAAACTAGGGGAAATTGGTAATCATCATTAGCATTTTTAATGGGTTTGCAGGATTTTTTTGTAATGTTTGAGCTAGGTGAAGTATGCATCGGAAATTGCTCTTTTTAATAGTTCCAGGCGTTTTTAAATCAGACTTTAAATAAGTGAACTGCAGCGTCTCAAAGAGGCGTATGTTCTTAACAAACTAGGGGAAATTGGTAATCATCATTAGCATTTTTAATGGGTTTGCAGGATTTTTTTGTAATGTTTGAGCTAGGTGAAGTATGCATCGGAAATTGCTCTTTTTAATAGTTCCAGGCGTTTTTAAATCAGACTTTAAATAAGTGAACTGCAGCGTCTCAAAGAGGCGTATGTTCTTAACAAACTAGGGGAAATTGGTAATCATCATTAGCATTTTTAATGGGTTTGCAGGATTTTTTTGTAATGTTTGAGCTAGGTGAAGTATGCATCGGAAATTGCTCTTTTTAATAGTTCCAGGCGTTTTTAAATCAGACTTTAAATAAGTGAACTGCAGCGTCTCAAAGAGGCGTATGTTCTTAACAAACTAGGGGAAATTGGTAATCATCATTAGCATTTTTAATGGGTTTGCAGGATTTTTTTGTAATGTTTGAGCTAGGTGAAGTATGCATCGGAAATTGCTCTTTTTAATAGTTCCAGGCGTTTTTAAATCAGACTTTAAATAAGTGAACTGCAGCGTCTCAAAGAGGCGTATGTTCTTAACAAACTAGGGGAAATTGGTAATCATCATTAGCATTTTTAATGGGTTTGCAGGATTTTTTTGTAATGTTTGAGCTAGGTGAAGTATGCATCGGAAATTTCTCTTTTTAATAGTTCCAGGCGTTTTTAAATCAGACTTTAAATAAGTGAACTGCAGCGTCTCAAAGAGGCGTAAGTTCTTAACAAACTAGGGGAAATTGGTAATCATCATTAGCATTTTTAATGGGTTTGCAGGATGTTTTTTAATGTTTGAGCTAGGTGAAGTATGCATCGGAAATTGCTCTTTTTAATAGTTCCAAGCGTTTTTAAATCAGACTTTAAATAAGTGAACTGCAGCGTCTCAAAGAGGCGTATGTTCTTAACAAACTAGGGGAAATTGGTAATCATCATTAGCATTTTTAATGGGTTTGCAGGATTTTTTTGTAATGTTTGAGCTAGGTGAAGTATGCATCGGAAATTGCTCTTTTTAATAGTTCCAGGCGTTTTTAAATCAGACTTTAAATAAGTGAACTGCAGCGTCTCAAAGAGGCGTATGTTCTTAACAAACTAGGGGAAATTGGTAATCATCATTAGCATTTTTAATGGGTTTGCAGGATTTTTTTGTAATGTTTGAGCTAGGTGAAGTATGCATCGGAAATTGCTCTTTTTAATAGTTCCAGGCGTTTTTAAATCAGACTTTAAATAAGTGAACTGCAGCGTCTCAAAGAGGCGTATGTTCTTAACAAACTCGGGGAAATTGGTAATCTTGATTAGCATTTTTAGTGGGTTTACAGGATTTTTAAATGTTTAAGCTAGGTGAAGTATGCATCAGAAATTGCTCTTTTTAATAGTTACAAGCGTTTTTAAATCAGATTTTAAATAAGTGAACTGCAGCGTCTCAAAGAGACGTATGTTCTTAACAAACTCGGGTATATTGGTAATCATCATTAGCATTTTTAATGGGTTTACAGGAGTTTTTTTTTAATGTGTATGCTAGGTTAAGTATGCATCGGAAATTGCTCTTTTTAATAGTTCCAGGCGTTTTTAAATCAGACTTTAAATAAGTGAACTGCAGCGTCTCAAAGAGACGTATGTTCTTAAATACATTTGTTTTTGTGTGTTCAGTGTTAGAAAATTAATGTCTCAAACTTTGAGGTTAAAGCTAGAAGTTCTTATGCAACACTACTTAGCAGATACGTTTGATCTACGGTATTGAGTTAAAAGACCTAAATCGTCGCGTATCTATGCTTCCTAGTATAAATTCTCTATGGATATAAGTTATTGTCTACGGTATTGAGTTAAAAGACCTAAATCGTCTCGTATCTATGCTTCCTAGTATAAATTCTCTATGGATATAAGTTATTATCTATGGTATAAAATGGCAGGAGTGATAATAGATAAGTTTGTTATTTATGGTTTCAGTTTATCATTTTATAATTTTTATCTTGTCTATGGAATTGCCTATGAATTATTATTTTACTTTACTTCTTGTTGTTTATTGAGGAGTGTGGTAATGTTAATTTGTTTTTCTTGCCCCTTATTAATGCCAGTAAGTGGATTAGAAAACAATTGAAGGTATATTTACATACTACTTAAATTATAAGGGTGTCCATTTGATAATTTATAATAAAAGCTTGTGTGGCATTTCGCATTTCTTAATTTTTATCATTTTGTCGCATTATCTATTATAAAGACTAAATTTTATATGTACAATAATGTTCTACTGTTTTTTTATTTATATACAACTATTGTTGTATGTAACAAACCATTTATCAAAAACATTATACAAACTCTGAACACTATTATATGTCTTCAGGTATTGGAGATAGTAGTCATCTTGCACTTCATAATGTAGCAGTACCTGAAAGAAGCATGGTAGTGCCAGACAACACAGTATCTTTCTTTGGAATGATTTATAACAACTAACTGGTAACACCTTCAGCAGATTGCAGTTACACAGTCAGAAAGGTCAGTGACAACATTAATTATAAGTATGTGGGTATTAAACCTTTTACAATTTAATACATAGGAATGTACAACCATAGTAACACAATTACACCTGACAAACTAAATTAAATATTTTCGAAATATATCAGCAAATTAAACAAAATTTCTATTAAAGAAATTACATCTAAGGTNCCAGGCGTTTTTAAATCAGACTTTGAATAAGTGAACTGCAGCGTCTCAAAGAGACGTATGTTCTTAACAAACTCGGGGAACTTGGTGATCAGGGTTAGCATTTTTAGTGGGTTTACAGGATTTTTTAAATGTTTAAGCTAGGTGAAGTATGCATCGGAAATTGCTCTTATCAATAGTTCCAGGCGTTTTTAAATCAGACTTTGAATAAGTGAACTGCAGCGTCTCAAAGAGACGTATGTTCTTAACAAACTCGGGGAACTTGGTGATCAGGGTTAGCATTTTTAGTGGGTTTACAGGATTTTTTAAATGTTTAAGCTAGGTGAAGTATGCATCGGAAATTGCTCTTATCAATAGTTCCAGGCGTTTTTAAATCAGACTTTGAATAAGTGAACTGCAGCGTCTCAAAGAGACGTATGTTCTTAACAAACTCGGGGAACTTGGTGATCAGGGTTAGCATTTTTAGTGGGTTTACAGGATTTTTTAAATGTTTAAGCTAGGTGAAGTATGCATCGGAAATTGCTCTTATCAATAGTTCCAGGCGTTTTTAAATCAGACTTTGAATAAGTGAACTGCAGCGTCTCAAAGAGACGTATGTTCTTAACAAACTCGGGGAACTTGGTGATCAGGGTTAGCATTTTTAGTGGGTTTACAGGATTTTTTAAATGTTTAAGCTAGGTGAAGTATGCATCGGAAATTGCTCTTATCAATAGTTCCAGGCGTTTTTAAATCAGACTTTGAATAAGTGAACTGCAGCGTCTCAAAGAGACGTATGTTCTTAACAAACTCGGGGAACTTGGTGATCAGGGTTAGCATTTTTAGTGGGTTTACAGGATTTTTTAAATGTTTAAGCTAGGTGAAGTATGCATCGGAAATTGCTCTTATCAATAGTTCCAGGCGTTTTTAAATCAGACTTTGAATAAGTGAACTGCAGCGTCTCAAAGAGACGTATGTTCTTAACAAACTCGGGGAACTTGGTGATCAGGGTTAGCATTTTTAGTGGGTTTACAGGATTTTTTAAATGTTTAAGCTAGGTGAAGTATGCATCGGAAATTGCTCTTATCAATAGTTCCAGGCGTTTTTAAATCAGACTTTGAATAAGTGAACTGCAGCGTCTCAAAGAGACGTATGTTCTTAACAAACTCGGGGAACTTGGTGATCAGGGTTAGCATTTTTAGTGGGTTTACAGGATTTTTTAAATGTTTAAGCTAGGTGAAGTATGCATCGGAAATTGCTCTTATCAATAGTTCCAGGCGTTTTTAAATCAGACTTTAAATAAGTGAACTGCAGCGTCTCAAAGAGGCGTATGTTCTTAACAAACTCGGGGAAATTGGTAATCATCATTAGCATTTTGAATAGGTTTGCAGGATTTGTTTTGAATGTTGAGGGTAGGTGAAGTATGCATCGGAAATGGCTCTTATCAATAGTTCAAGCCGTTTTTAAATCAGACTTGAAGTAAGTGAACTGCAGCGTCTAAAAGAGCATAGAAAAGGAACTTAGGGAAATTGGCATCTTCACCATCACTTTTAAACCCTTTATAGTTTGTTTTTTATATTATAAATAGGGGATTTAAATTGGTTCTTTCAATAGTTTAAGCCGTTTTTAGATACTATATATATTCTTGTGTAATTTAGAAAAATATGTAATTTTCACAAGCATTTTCAATGGGTTTAGAAGATTTATTTTGGATTTTCTAGCTAGGTATTGTTTGCATCGGGAATTCCTCTTTTCATTAATTCGTCAGTTAGTTTGTTTTTCATCTTCAAGCTGGGAATTGTATACATAAAAAAGTGCGCTTTTCATTGGTATTACTGATTTACTTATTTTAACAATTATGGTTTTTCATTGAACAGTTACGATTGTCTATATTAAGAATTTCCATTTTCAACAAATATATTGACTTTTATCATTGATCTATGGATTTCATTTGAATCTGTATCTATTATCGGCTTCATAAATTGATGTCGTGTTATTTGACATTTTTCTATGTCGTGATCCCTTGTGTCGTGACCCTTTGTAGATCTATTATCTATGGTCGTGATCTATGGTTGTGATGTAAAATGACGTGGAGTAACGCTTATCATTTCACAATTCACCTGTTTTACTTACTTTTTGGTGCGTTTTTAGTTATGTTAAAGGTGTTTCTTAATTAATAGTGTAATTAATATGTCTTTTTGTCTATTTCTGCAGGTTGTCGAACTAA